CTTCCTGAAAATTTGGCAGCAAAATTATAATTTAATACTGCACAGAGGGGTCAGGAAGCAAACAAGTTGTACAATATTGCACAATGAAGAAAGGCATTCAGGAGTTAAACAGATTTTCCAATAGAAAGGTTGAACAATCAAACCACCAGCAGGGCAACACTTTAAAGTTTAAAATCTTTTTTAAAATCTGACAACTTAAATTGTTATAAATCCAGAAGCCTAAGTGATGACAGGCAAGAGTCATGTATATTTACCAGCATAATTCAGTGTCTGATGCTGTCTCAAATCCTTCTGTTAGAGGTGGTAAAGACTTCTGAGGATTTCCTTCAGGTGAAATATTCATCTTGCCACCTGTTACAATTGGAAAGATTAACATGGTGGGTGATACAGGAATGTAACAGCAAAGGGACCAGCACAGTAGGATAGTATTTTGTAGGAAAAGTAAAGGTGCTTACCCATCTCCAAGGGCCTAGGCTCACAGAAACAACTCCACAAAGGAGAGATCTCTAACCAGAGATCCTTCCCCACTGGCAGTCAGCCCTTAAATGAGGTCTAAAAGAGATACAGCCAGGCTCCAACCATTATGGTCAAGCAGCTGAATTGCCTTCACCTGTGCTCCCAGGGCTGTCCCGGTCCTTTCCCCAGGTGCTCTATCAGTGGTTCAGGCCAATTCAACAGTTCCCATACACCACCTCTGCAGAGATTAATACATTGGTCACAACTGCTGGAGTCTCTGAGAAAGTACCTGGATGGTTTGGGGGGATCTACTAATGAAAAAATGAGACATGGTCCTAGGTACTAATTTTCTACTGGCCACAGAGTAAGCCTGGCATATATGAAATGAAAAAATGAGGCTTCTGGTACAGATCTAGTCTTGTTCAAAATGCCTTAAGTACTCTTTTGATTTGTTTATGATTACAATTCTTGGAAGTCTGGAATCTTTTATTATTGGGGATGGGGTCTCTGAGGGCAAGCTGCAAGAGAATGGTCTTGAAATGTGTAAAATGTACATATCTGATATGTTCCTAATTCTTTTGAAGAGAGATTCTGTTGAAAAAAAAATGCTGCCAAAACACACTGGGAGGACAGTACCTCATGGATTTTTATATATATATATATTTGCCATGTTAAGAAGTTCCGCAAACAAGTCACATAGATGTAAAGTCAGTTGGGCAAGTAGGTTTAGACTGTAATTCAGATCGAGCAGGTCAATGCATGTATGTGTTGGAGCCTGAGGTGTGTAAACAGATAGCACAGTGGTGGGCATGTTACAGCTAAGAAGCGGATTAGGAGGATCCACACGTGAGTAGTAGCTGCACACACACAGTTTCCCAGATCTCTCCTAAGCTTTTCTGGGGCTGAATCAACCAGTCGTGCACATATATTGTGCATGGTGTTGGTCTGTCCTTTTATTTATATTGATTCCATATTACCTGCTATAAATTTTGAGTTTGAAATGATTAATCATCTCACTGCCTTCTGCAATGTCCTTTCTATTTTGCAAGACAGATGTAAATTCAGTTAGCATGAATATGCATAGAAATGTAACAAACTCCTAATAAACAGTGGATGCCTGCTGACATCCCAGTTTGGTTTTACTTTCTGAAATGCCACTCTGAAATGCACAGCACTAATTTTACTGAAGGAGTTCTTGCACATGTATACATGCAGGAAAGCTACTTCTCAGTCATTTCTATTTGTCCTAAACTCTTTGAAAACACTTCTGCTTCTGAGAATCCCCAGCTAGCATATTCCCCATAAAGATTCCTTCCAATTTCAGGGGTATTTCAGGGTTTGAAATGAAGACACCTACTTGTATTTACCCAACTGCATCAGCAAAACGTTTCTTTTGCTGTTCAGCAGCTGCAGCAAATGCTTAATGACAGACTAATGGTGACTCCCAGTTGTGCACAATGCACTGGGAGTGCAGCCTTTCCTGACTCATATTGCTTTATGCATCAAGAAATGTGTATTTGGATAACTTCTGACTTTTCTCTCAATGAGAAGAGTTTGTAATGCCTTCTGCCTGCATCAACACAAGCCAATCCACTTTGTTTTAGTTATAGCAAAATACAATTTGGTGTGAAAGAAATCCAAGATGGATGCAAATCTCCAGTCTAACTGTCTGCATAATGCACACCTATGTTTTGTATTTCACTGATGCTCTCCTCAGAGTAGTAAGCTCTATGTGTAAGCATATCCTCAGGTCTTTCCCTGTGGTTGTCATTCTGTTTTAGCAAATTACCCTAAACCATATGGAACTGTCAGAGAGCCTTTCACTCATTTGCAAAGACCCTGAAATCTCATTGTCTTCTTCTTAACAGATGTAGATATCATTCTGAAGCTTGAAAGGAAGGACTAAAATGTTGTGAGAACTTCACATGGCAAGTCAGTGAATGCCATTTGCATGCCATATCATTTCGCAGACCTGAGGCACTCTTTTAAAAATCTCTGGATGGAAGCAACACAACTATCCCTGAAGTGTTGCTTGTTCTCTTTGATCTAAGGTGTGTCTTGCTTAGAAGCAAAACAAGCATGGTTCCAATAAAATAAACAGGCTCATACTGATCACTACTAGGAAAAGATCTGCTCATTTTTTTACATAAATGCAAAAGGCTAACATTCCTGGGCAGGTCTTTCCAATTTGCAGCATATAGTGAGGAACGTAAAAGATAGATAGAAAATATCTGAAAGCAGAGTTTGTGAAGGAATTTTTAATTAGAAAAAAAGCTGGGTGAAAGTTCACACCTTCTGCAATATTTAAGCCAACTACTCTCTTGCTACAGTAATTGTTACCTGTGATTAGTATCTCAAGAAAGGGATTTCACCCAAGCATAGCAGATTTCTAGTAAATATGTTTAATATGCACATACATCTGTGAAGAGAGAGAATGAGTTCTTATTCAAGCATGAGTGATAGGAGAGTCAGACAAGGTTATAATAATTTGTTGTAAAAAATAAAGTATAACTATACTGAGGAAAGAAAAGACTGGTGATACCTGGTTGATCCATTCTTTCTTTCTGTGATACCTCAGTGAGATTTGACTGTTTGCTGTGTCCTCACTTACTATACAGTAACACTATCTGTTTCTCTGGTCCTAGAACAGCTTACCTGAGCATACCACTAGACGAGCGTTGGCTCTCATACTTTGTTATAGAGATGTGATGCAGAGAAGGAAAAATGTGAACAGGAGGCCAAATATTTGCTATAGATTGTGGCTGCAGAGATCAGTAATCAGGACAGTACCATCCAACTGCTATTGCTCTAGCAATTTCTAGTCAATCTTTTTCTCCTTTTCTTTTTTAGTAGGTTAAAAGCAAATAAAATGATTATAAGCAGTAAATGAATAGCCAGAGACATTTCTTAACACTGGTGAAAATTTACACTGACTTTTGATTGCCTTTTTATGATGCAAGTATTTAGACTCTGGGCAAACACGGATATCCTGTGGTGTTCCGTGTTGCACACCCTGATGAGTGTGCCTTCAAATTAACCAAGGGCTGCAGTCTGCAAAAACGAAGTTTTGGTTGATATATAAGGCTGTTTTTTGTTTTTTTTTTTTTAAGCTTTCCACAAAGTTTCCTGTGCAACTTGAGCTTGATGTTCAAAACATGCCTCAGTGTCATTTCTGTTCCCCAATGTGTCAAAAGCTAACCTAGTGTATGCAGCCCTGCTTCCTCTAACGTCTGGTCATGTCAGGTCTCTGCTGGTACAAAGTAAGAGGTTGTCACAAGTTTTATAGCCCTAGTGCTATATGGGTCTCTGGGTCATCACTTCACAATATCATGGAGACAAAGTATTAAGCAAAATTCAGTTTTGGGCTCAGTGCTACATGAAAACAGAGTTGCTCAGAACTAAATAATAAAATAAAAATTTTTAAAAAAACATTTGGAAAGGCTGCAGAGTTCCAAGTTTTGAAGATTTAAACCAGTCTCTGTGAGTCTTCTCTGAGAGAAACAAAGTGTTTTGCAAATGTTCCTAAACTGCCACTGTCAGTCAGGCCATTGAGTCTAGTTAAGCAGACTACTAGCCAGATTGATTTTTAGGTACTGAGCACAAGAAAATATTATTAAGTCAGATATTTATCTATGGCATGTAACTGTGAAAATAACAAAAGTGACAGACATGATGTACAGTTACAGCAGAGAAAACAAAGCCATTGTCATGAAAAATAGGAAGTGCCAAGTAAGAAATGACTCAGTCCTTGCAGTATTTCAATAAAATTGTCTTTAACACCATGCTGTACCTACATACACAGATACAGAGCATGAGGATAAGATGTCTGAATTTGTCTCACTATCTCAGGGCAAAAGAAAATCACTAGTTAAGGGAAAAAATAATAAACATGGTTTAAGCACTTCTAAAAGGTGCTGTGCTGGCATGCCCTGAATAGCAAAGTGCTGGAGATTAAGCATGAAGTGGATAGACAGACATTCCTACACAGCATGGTAATATGCCTCACTCTGGTCCCAAGAAACTGTTCCACCAGGGGATGAGAGCTTTTGGCTGAGAAGAGTGGACAACATCTTCTGCAGCCCATCACAGAATCAAAGAATGACTGAGTTCAGAAGGGACCTCTGGGTCTACCGAGTCCAACCCCCAGCTCAAGTAGGGCCACCCAGAGCATGCTGCCCAGGACCACATCCACGCAGCCCAGAAGTCCACACATGCACATCAACTACTGGACAACTGCTGGGCATAAATCTCTTCTGGCTGGGCTGGACCAGCTTTGGCCTAGTGACCCGGGGAGCTGCTTGTATCCCATTTCTAATCCCTTGAAACTAAATCCTCTCCATTTTCAGCTCCCACAGGAGCACACCATTTCCCTGCTTGCTGGGCAGCAGTGCAAGCTGCCCTTGGCACTCCCAGTGCACATTGGTAAAGGTCATTTGTGGCCATCACCCATAGACAGCAATGCCTGCAACCCCGACACTCGGAAAAAAACACCTTAACCTGACATTATTGGTGGGGTGGGACTACATAAATGCCCAAGGACCGAAGCACAACAGCAGCTTGAGTGGAGAAAATGCATCCTACATGTCTTCACAGCTCTTATCAACAACAAGGCAACTCGGCTGAAATTCAGCTCCTTACTCCAGCATTCCTCTCTGCTGTCATGCTTGCTCTCATCTTATCTGAAAAGGTATTAAACAGATTTTCCACAGTTTATTTTTATCACATGCTCAGGTTTTCCCTGGAGCTGTGATCTCCAAACACAACTCAAGAACGGATCATGCTTAAGTTGGAGATCTGGGTCTCCCTGCCTCAGCTGTGCTGAGTGGCATTACCAAGCCCTATTGTGTTTTGGGAGACTATGCACTAGGAAGACATTTCTTAATGGTGAAGGGATCTGCCCTCTTCTATGCTTAGGGTGGGAGTTTGAACTGGCAGTTAACACTGCTCTTGAGGAATCAAAGATCTCTCACTTTGGTGGGAAAAGAACTCCATAATTCCACTGTAATTTATTTGCTCTCACCCTTCTTAAGATAACCTAGTCTGTAATACGTAAGTGACTGCGGGACAGTGAATACTGCTTGAAAAGAGAGCTAAGACAGGAAAGGATTTATTCTGTCTTCTTGCCTGTAGTGATGTCTCTTCCCTCAAAATACTAGTGACTTCTTATTGCCCTGTCTGCTTGCCACCTCAGCAGAGTCCAGCAGCCTGCTGAATTAGGTAAGTGTACAGTTATTTTTAACTGAATTGAATGTTACATGTTTGGATGGCATGTTGTGCAAGAGATATAGTCTGGTGTCATATGACATTCTGTCCAGACACTTGTCCTAAATTTAGCTCTAAATTTAACCTGAAAGAAGTAGGGCAAATAATTAAATGTCAACCCTGCAAAACAAACCTGTTGCATTGTGATTTGAATTTAAAGGAAGAAACATCTCACTTGTGCTCAAAGCAGTCAGTGTAGGACAGATAAGCTATTTCAATGACAGTATAAAGGAGAGATAATTTTATCAGAGATTTAAATACTGTAATTATTACATTTGAATTTGATTGCACTTCAGAAACAGCACTAGGTAAATAGAGATCGTGGTGCAGTGTCCTTTAGCACAGTCTATTCTGGTTCTTTGGCTGCTCTCATCTGCAAAGCAAGAAATGATTCCCCTGCTAGGTCAGCTTGCGCAGGGGAGCAGGCCAGTGTTACATGGCAGGAGTCAGTAGGGATGACAGCTTGTCCATTGCTTCGAGTTGCTGAGCCTGATGGTGGTGGTGGCCATTGTTTGCCCCAGTCCAAGCTGGAGCTCATCCTAAAGAACAAAGGCTTCCCACTTCTCCTGCAGCTGTGCACAGGAGGGTCTCACTCTGCTTCCACTCTAGTACCCTGGCACATGAGAAGTCATAAATGAATTCCTTGAACTTCACCATGCTGAAAGGTATGTATATTTTGCAAGCTGTTGATTTTAGATAGGGCCATCTTCTGGTTTTCAAGGGCTTTTTATGTGTAAGAACAGTAAAATATAGGCAGATCTGTATCTATCCTGTTCTCAGTCCATTTACAGCAGTCACATAGTTGGAAACCATCAGCCTTCAAGGAATCAGATGCTACCAGAAAAAATACATCAAAAACCATGAATGAGCCGAGGGAGATTTTGTTCTGAAATTAGTCTATGGGATAAAATGGAGAGGTAAGCTCCCACTGTATATTTCCACATATTACTTTAAAAAAATGTAGAAAAGCTAGTTTCCCATCAAAATGTCTTTGACTTTTCCACCATTGCTGTTTCAGAGTCATTGTTATTGCAGGACCTTGCTTGTGCTTCACGTTGCCATTATGTCCTCTCGTTGCTCTGCAAAAGCCTCAGAGCAAAGGGGTTACAGCAACATCTCTGAATTTTATGGATTTTGTAAAGGTCAAGAAAAAGAGAAGACTTTCATTAGAATTCTTACTAACATGCATTAGAACATAAAATAAATGATATTTGCACAGCAAAGGTTAACTAAAAGATAATGTTTGTGCTTTCCCCCTTCCTCCAAGGAATATGTATTTGTTTGTGTAGTCTTCAGGTTGCATTCACGCTGTATGAGGATTTCTTGTTCTCTTCTGACTGATTGCTCTTTCAGTTTGAGTCAGCGGATGTGACCTTAGGATGACATTTGCAGAGAGGCAGTGGCTGCGATGTCTTAGTTCTTCCAAAGCTCTCTGTCAGGGCAGTTTCTGAGCTGAGCCATCAGATATCTCAAATGGGGCTTGTGGCCCTAGTATGGCATGTTCCCCTTGGTGATCATATCATGTTTCTAGAGAATTGATGGCTCTGTTTTTATTTTCTGGGACGTTAAAGCTTTCTGCGAAGAGGCAGTTGTACACTGCGCAAAATTGCACCCTGACTTACAGATGAGTTAGGAGCCATTGGAGTGGGTTAATTCCCTCCCTGAAAAGGCAGTTATGTTCTTAGTAGAGTAAATATTTGCAGCAGTGAAGTACTAAGGCAGCAGAGTCAGCAAGGAATATTATATATTGTATTCCCTATCCCTGGGCACATGTGGCACTTTGCACCTTTTCCCATACAAGTGCCTCTGTCTCCTTGTCTCTCTCAAGGTACTGTGGCCAAAGCAATCATTAGTTCTTGCAAAGGAAATTGAAATTGAAACTGTCTTCCCCCATGGGAGTTTCTGTCTCCTTGTTATTTGAACATGGGTTGTATAGCAGGAGGTATGGAGAAGCTGCTTTTGCTTCTGGCATTTGCACTTAATCTTTGGGAGTGTTGGATGGAAGCACAGCATGGCAACAGTGAATGAAAAGCAAAGCTCTGCTTTCTGGAATATGATTGTGAAAGATATAGAAATGTGAATCCTAGGTCTGTAATCACAATGAAATACACTACCCAAAATACCTCACTGCCTTTCTACAGTGAAAAAGCTCAGACAAGTTATCCAGGACAAGGAAAGGTCCCAGAATACCAAGCACATGTATCAGTATGCTGTTCTTTATGCTGTTCTTTGGCAAAGTATTGTGGGGATTGCTTTGCTTTAAACACAAGAAAGTTATGTTAACAGGAACCTAATCAGGTAGCTGCTCTTCAACTGCATAATGCAAGAGGTCTCCTTGGCTGGATCATATCTGTGTGCATTCCACAGTTACTACCTTCACGTGCTCTAAACGTTAGGTATGAATGACAGGCAGAAACAAAACGGTTATCTACTGGAACCATGCTCTCTGCCCAGGGATTCTTTTTGTCACAACTAGTCAATATTTTCTTGCTCTCAGAGCAGACATCCGTGAGTCAAGTGTTCGGGTGCAGCAGAGTTGGTCATTGTTGGAAGTTACAGGCTAAGGATGAGGATAATTAGTATTGATGTCCGTTCTTACCTGCATTTCTTCAGGTGGTGCCAAATGTACTGCCAGCTTTGCACACAGAATGAGTCTGTGAGGACTGTTGATCTCCTCAGATGGACAAATGAACTTTGTTTTTTCACCAACTTTAGTTGCTTTATTAATCTGTGTTTTAATACAAAGCACCTCTAAGAAGAATTAGGTCGGCTAATGGAGGTGGGGGCTGTGAAAATATCCAAAAATACAACATATTAAATGTACTTTCCTAACCTGATTTCTGCTGACTATTTTTAGGAAACATGAAGAATAAAGAGAACATTGTTGTTCATTTAGTCATTTTCTATTTTCACATGGTTGTTCTTTGTCTTCTCTCAGATTGAACTCTTTTTTATTGCTCCCTGTTTGTGAGACCCCAGCTGACTCCCCTGTCAGCATGAGTTGGCTATTTCCACCATTTTCTATTTAAAGAGAAAGCAAACAGAACTAATATGCAATGTCTGAGTTTGAAGTGTGTCCCGAAAAATGGCATGCTTTTATGTATTTATTTTTGCAGGTGATGTTTTGTCATCTCTGGAATGTCTTGGGGTTAAGCTGAAAATGCAGATTCATAACCAAGTGAGTCCCAGTTGAAATATTAACAAATCTGCTGCAATGCTAATAAATCATAATTATAGTTATTATTATGTTTTGGATATGTTGTAATAAAGACACAAAATTGTTTTATTGAAAAAAATATCAACTTCCAAATGTATGATTTCGTGACTGTATAGTAATATTTCTGTAGCAATATTTCAAACTTCTATGAGCTCTTCTTCTGATTATATTGAAATATTTCACAGGTAGCGATTAAATAAAGTTCTATTTGTGAATCTCTATCCATATAGGTGGTCTCACTGGCTTCCTCTTTGTGAGAATTTCTGGACTCATCTCTAAAGTTAGTATGTTTGACTGTTTCCACTCCAGTAATGACTCAGAGACTCAGAGGACTTAAATGATTTACTAAAGACAAAACGGGGAGTTAATGGTATCTGAAAATAGAACTTCTGAAGCAGAGTCCTGTGATTTTATGGGAAAAGGGTCCAGCAGTATTCATAGGTGCTTCAAATGCATCAAATCCCTGTTGCCCACAGTGCTGCATTCCTCCAGCAATAGGCACTTTAATGCACCTGGTCTGTCCAGAATCATGCACTGAGACATGCATGCAAGAAGTGCCTGTATGGTTGTTCCTCCATGCTGGAGCTTCAGTCTCACTTGTCAGCTAGATCTGGAAGTCCTGATCCATGACCTACCAGCCTGCGGTTTTTGGCTTGCTGAAACAAGTAGTGGGGAAGTGGCTACAGCCCTGTTCCTTGCTGGGTAGGTATAAGAGACACCCAGCTTCATGCTGTATGTCCTGCATGTCTCTCTGCACATACACAAATATCTGATGTGCCCCACAGCTTGAAGGGTTTGATCTGGTTAAAGCTGAAGAAAAGCAAGGCATGGACCATACTTTATGGTGACATAGTCATCATTTCTTACTTGTTCTAGGATTCAGAGTATGTTTCACACAGATTCTGTGAGAGAAGAGTGGACGTTACAAAGAAACCCAGGAGCATGAGAGAGAGAACTGGAGAGTGCTAGGTGTGAACAGCTGCTGAGATCTTGAGCCCAATGTCTTTTTTCTAATCAAACATCTCATACTGGAAGGTTCAGGCATCCATGCCTTTGCCAAATGTGAAACTACAGTGAAGTATCAACATTTTTTCTCGAGTTCAGTGAGTCATCATGCAGGCCATAGGAATGTCAAGGGTGTGGATCTGATGAGAGCCTACCCAAAGGCAGGCAGAAGGGCTAAATCTGGGAGATACTCAATCTTGGTTTTAAACCAAGACAATCTTAAAGTAATATCAGGAAAAAAGTGCTGGATTTTTTTTAAAAGTCATAGGGCATCGGTTGTCATGCTGTTAGGATGGAGTTTCACTCTCGTGCTGTCGTCATCCAGGTCTACTTTGCCTTAGTAACTGCTGAATGTTCTTTGGATAAAGTAACTGCCTTGCACTGAGGTGAGGGGCAGACCATTTAGTGGGCAGCAGAGAAAGGGAATGTGTCATGTAATGGCCATCATCTTGTGCTGGAGTGTGTCAGATTCTGTCAGGCGTGGAGAAGGAATAATGCAGGTCCTGAAAGGCTCAAATGCAAAAATAGTGGTTGGGAAGAGATCACATATGAGCAAATGATGTGGCCTTGCTAAATTGGTTCCCTTCCAGATTGCTCTTGCTAAGCCATGGATGGGGTTGTTTACACAGTGATGGGGGAGTACAGCTGAGGCTCAACTAGGTGTTCTGAAAGGAAACAACCTGCTGTGATCAAGGTTTTGTTCTCTTTATAAGTAGTGTTTTGCCACAGGAATTAGTGAATTAGCTCAATGAAAAAGGACAGATATTGTTTTGATTCTGGATTATACTGTGTTATACTTTATTCACAGTATTAGCTGGACAGATACAAAGTAACTGTCCCAAATTGAGGATTATCCTCGTGTTTCAGATAATGCAACAGTGTCAGCTCTCCTCTATGTGCCTGATAGTTCCCTTGAGGAAAAGGTTACCTCTTCCTCAAACGGTTTGCCAAACCTGGGGACAATGTCTATCATTTCAAAATTACAACTTCAAGCAGTCTGACAGAGGGACATCTTCCACATTTAAGTGTTTTAAGAGCAGTTCTATTCCAGTAATAAGCTCTAATAAATATTTCTAGAAACAAGTTCACAGCTGCTTTTGCCATCTCTGGAATTCTGGAGTCTTGAATTTGTAACCTTAAAAATACATGAGCCACTGTAAAACATAACACGCACAGTACTGTTTGCCTAATTCATTTAACAAGTAGAAGTTAAAGTGAAAGTAAATTGAACTTCCTTTTCCCCAAGTAAATAAAATTCTACAGGACAACATATTTTACTTCAAAATTCTATGGAAATTTCTTCTTTTTCTTTGGGTTCCAGAAACATGTCCTTATATGGTCTACTTGTCAGGGACAATAAATAATGATGTAATAGAAAGGTCAACTTTGTGTCATTTAGCTACAGGATGCTTGATGAAGTGAAGTTCCTCACATTAATGCAACAAAGAAGAACTTTATAATGAGTAAAAGTTTCTGCAGTGCGTCTTCAAGCAGGAAATCTGAGATTCAGAACAACTTATATTTTGGCTTGTACTCGCTGATCATGGGGTGATCCAGAAATAAACTCCAGGCTTCAAAGAGAGAGAGTTTCAAAGCTGTCCTGCAGTTGATCGAAACATCCAGACAAGGCAGGGAGATGAATACCAACGAGGATTTTCTAAATTAAGACTATATCAAGAAGATAATTCATTTCAATAATATCGTAACTCTTTTATTTGAGAACTAAAAGGTAACACAGATATGCATGTTTTGAATTTACTTAACATTTTCAATGTCAGTTTGCTGTCTATGCAAATACTTCTTCCTATAGCAGTTTGTACTGTTTGTAACCGAACACCCTAACAAAATCATCCGAGTTTGTCATTTCCTTTTGTGGGTGTCTTGTTTTTGTTGTTGTTGTTGTACTGATCTGGATTTTTTTCTTGTTGTTCTTTCCACACAAGCTGTAAAACTCTCACTGGAGTTAAGCAGAACTGTAGCTCTGTCATTTCCTCATTTTTCTTCTACTTATCAGTAGTGCTTTTATCTTTGTTGCTTAGAAAACTTACTCATAACTGTTGTTGTCGTAATTACATTGTAAGGTATGATAGCATGGAAGACAGTGAAAGAAGAAAGATGACATCAGCAAATTATTTCTTTCAGTTATAAATTTCTGGTTGATACAACACAAAGTTAATATTGCAGTGATTACTGTATGAATTAATGCTTTCTGAGAAGAAATAAAAGCATGCAGGTATATTCATTTCCAGTAAAGAATTTGCACAGAATCAGAACTTCATGGCATCATAACACATGCCAGACTGATAGGTGACCTGTTTTGACAGCTGGGGCCGAACGAGGGACTTGTTTGCTCAGAGGATTCCTTTGGGATGCCTGGCTTTGCTCTCCAGCACAGAGCTGTAACTTGACCGGTTTGCATAAGCTGTCGTTACAAAATGTTTTTGCCTGTTACCACAGCTGGACAGCATGAGGTGTTGTTCTTCTAGTGCCCCAGCTCTGACAGATATGATGGGCATTCAAAATGTGTCTGTTTTTGAAACATCATTTTTCTTCTGGCAGTAGTTAACAAATACACTTCAAAAATACCAGAGATTTGGTTAGAAACTGCCCTAAAATGAAGCAAAAACATGAACACTTTAAATGCTGTAAATTGGTCTAGTTTCCATTGTCAGCAGAGATCTGGCCTGAAAGATGTAGCAGTAAGAGCTGAAGCGTAGGCTTGGTTTTATGGAAAGACTTCCTACTGTGTTTACCTTCCCTTTGTATACTCCTGCTTCCAGAAGTAAAGGCAAACATAGGGAGTGATATCCACAGAACCTGGGGCTCAATCACACCTTACAAAAGGCAAAAAAAGAAAACCATTCCTCTTCTCTCCCTTTTATAGCCTCTCAAAGTCTTGATTTTGTTTTTAGAGATGTAGCTTATCACACCCTATGCCATAAATGCTGAGATTCTGTATAGAGTTACAAGTTGACTGGGATAAATGAAGAGTGTTGGTCGGCAGAGTCCCTGGCTCTGCTCCCTGATGACCTCATCACTCACCTGCTACCCTTCTATGATGGCAAGAAGCAAGTCTGATAATTCTACTGCCTGGGCTCTACTGAAGGTTTTAAGCTCAAGGAGGGAAGGGTTAGATTGGACATCAGGGAGATGCTCTTCACAGAGAGAGTGATGAGATGCTGGAACGGACTGCCTAGAGAGGCTATGGATACTTCATCTCTGGAAGTATTCAAGACCAGGTTAGATGGGGCCCTGGGCAACCTGGTCTAGTAACAGATCTGGAGGTTGGTGGCCCTGCCTGTGGCAGGGGTGTTGGAACTTGATGATCCTTGGGGTCCCTTCCAACCTAAGCCATTCTACAATCTACATTCTATGAAGTAGAACAGGCAGCCTTGCTTAGCTTTTCTCTGAAGAGATGCTGTCTATATGGACCAGTTGTTCCAGATGCTAATAGTGTCAAACAGTGCGGTCCTCCTTGTTCAAAGCCAGCTGTAAACCTCACTGTTTATTTATGTTGCATCAGGGATCAGAGGCCCATTCTCCCAAACACTGGATGTTGACAGAGCCTGCAGTACAAATATAACAGCACCCTAATTGTGTTTGCCTGTGGCTTTTACCACAAGGTGAGTGGCTTCAGCAGTCACCCTGTGAGCAGCACCTCTGGTTCCAGAACCACGTACAGCTGCTCATGGTGCCAGGCAGAGGATGGCTGCCCAGCACCTCCCTGCTGAGACCACTGCTAGGCTTTACCTGCACCCACAGTTCCTCTGTATGAAACAGACCTGAGAGCTACACTTAAACTCAAGCCAATTAAACTGAAGCTAGGAGAGCAAAGTTACAAACCAGGTGGGGCTGTTGTTTGTGTTAGGAGAGCAGGGTCAGGCCTGAGCTGGAAATAATGATGAATTTAGATCCAGAAGGTCTTGTCAGACTGAGCTATTAAATGGTTGCACAGGCAGTAATATCCTGTGATGTGTCTCTAATGAGGCAGATCACTAATGAGGCAATTCAGACCTGAAGGTAAGGTGTTGATTACTAACATAGGCACTACAACCACAGCTTTAAAAATCAGGTTCACAGTACAAGTGATGCAATGTGTTGCTCACGTGTGAGGACAGGCTCTTGGGCTGCCAGAGAAATGCAGAGGACAACCTGACATTAATCCTCCTAAAAAAACCCGGGCTAGAGAAACAATTAACCCAGCATTTCATTTCTATATCCTGCTCCAATATTTCAAATTTACAATAGGCAGTATGGAAGCAAACAAGCAGAACCAAGATGAATTCAGGGAGACTGCCTTGACCATATCTTGCTTAACCGAATTAGTTCATGTATTTCTAGTAAGAAAGATTGGTACTGCAGATGGTAGCACCTGTAGCTCATTTTTCTCATTGGCTTTTGTAAAGTGGTAGTTGGTGTTTCACTGCTGCCCAAGTAGTCAGGGTTGCACCAAGTGACTGTGCACAGCCCAGGGGGAAAAGATGGTACACATATGTATGGCTGCCACATCTCTCCTGGATCTCAGCAGCTTCTGACAGAAATTAACTCACATCAGAGCTCTGAGGTTTCACAGCCATCCACTAAGGAATCTCAACAGAGAATGGCTTCAAATCCAACTTGAACTGGTATGGATCAGGATGGCTGAGGCTGTGCTTGGCTGTCTGGGATGAGTCTGAAAGTTCCTGTGGCCCCTACATGTGACCCTGACACCCACACAAAGGTTATGTCATTCAAAAGAGCAACACTGAAATTTTGGGCCCCACAACATTCTGCGATGAGTCAGTAGTGGGAGCTGCTGCCAGCACTGTTGTTTCTGCATGGGGCTCCTGTCAAAATATTTAGACTAGTGAGGATCACCAACACATAGGGAGTTTCTTCCTTTCCTCTTCAAGTAGATGGGTCCCAGTTAACCTGTACAAAAGTAAGAGAGTGAAAAAGGAACAATCCCCAAATTAAAAAATGTTCCTTTAATTTCACTGTACCTCAGCAAGGCAGGAAAGACAAAGAGAGGGAACAAGATGTCCAGAAAAGTCTTTTTTACCTAGATCCAATGGGGTTGTAGAGGGTTACCTAATCCAGTTTGCCACTGCAGTACAGTCAGGATGCTGGTGGTGGGGCTGGAGAGGATGCAGAAGAGGGTTCTGCCCTAAACTCCTCCAGTGCAAGTTCCCCTCAGAGAACAACACTTTAGCTCCACTCTTGCCTCCTCCTAAGAGTCACTGTGCACCACCTGCATTGAGCTTTGGATAAGGTCCTGCCCTCTTAAGTGACAGCTTAGTTGAAGTCTCTGAGTCACCATCTGGGCCAGGCCCCTACATCTGGGCACTGCAGCTCTGAATGTTGCAAACAAGCTCGCTGATTCCAGCCTGTGGGTTTCGCACAGCCACAGAGCACCACTTACTAGGTAAGTATCTAGGCTGTGGGCCTGTAAGCATACTTCCCAGCATGGCAGGAGCTGAACAAACCAAGCAGCAGCAGAAGCTGCTGGAAAACAAGACTGTGTCATGAGTTTTGGCCAGCTACGGGTTAGAGGGCAGCCAAGGACAGGCACCAAAGCAGCTGGGGCATGGGGCAGCAGCAACTCTTGTATGGGAGTTATCAGTGTTTTGATGCCTGGGCTCTGTTCCTTGGGACAGCAAGGGGTCAGAGTAGAGCTGAGATCCACTGGGGTAGCCTTGAAAGGCTGGACAAAAAAAAACAAACGCTGACAAAAATGAATTGCATTATTTATCTGAACTGAAGGTTAAATTTTGGCATTTTCATGACTGCAAAATAGATTCTTCCCTGCAAAGAGTCATAACACTAATCCAAAATCTGCTGGGCTTCCCTTTCCCACGTCCTCTGGTGTATGTTTGAAGCCTGAAGGAGCTGTGAATGTGGCAAACATCACAGTTTCTGAGGTGAAATACTTAAATCTAAGGGTGGAATTTTTTCTGTCTTGATTCAAGTTCTTGTAATGCTTTAAACTCTGTATTATTTTCTTTTTCTGTTTCATTTTTTTTTCTTAATTTTGGATAAAGAAATGAGTGTGAGTGTCCTAATATACTGCTGTCTGCTTCATATGGGGAGTTACTATTTCCCCCAGGTTGGGACTGTCATCTTAAGGAGCCAAGATTTTCCACCATTTCCCATGATATAAGCCCGTGTATCATGGATACTGATGGCCAGAATGCCTCCGGCATCTGAAGATCCTTCTAGAACGTCATAATGTATGCATTTTCTGTGCACACTGCATGGTATTATTACATCCCTATCACCGCTAAAAATTCAGTGGTTATTTGCCTTTTTTGAGTCTGTTTGATGGTGAGAGTATGCACTCATTTTGTGACTTCTGAGTTTTCCCAGGTGTTTTCCCCTTCTTTCCTTTCCAGCTCTCAACACCAGTTTTCAGAGGGTTTTACCTTAAGTCTTAAGGCTGATGACCTTGAACTTTCCTCTGTGAATGGAAAAAATCAGAAGTGAAACTGAACATCATCACATTGCTCTGCTAGATGAGTGAAACAAAGAAAGTCACTTCAAAGAATAGCTTTGCATGTTGCTAAAGTGATCCCCAGACAGGGCAGAAGAAATTACTGAGTTGCTTTACAGTGGCAGTGAATTTGCCCTTGCAGAAAACCTGCAGACAGACAAATTTTCTCCCATAAATTTCCGCCATTAGAGCAAGAAATAAAGCAACAAAAAACATACACAAAAAGATGTTCACTGGTGTTGTCCAAAATAAATTCACTTCAGAATTGTTTCTCTTTAATCTGATGAGGATTTCCTTTACCTATTTTTCTCTTGAATTGTGGCAACCAGGAGGAGTAAGTAAGAACCTGCCTTGCTTGCAGCAGCTCTCTTCCCTTTTTAATCAACAAGCACATCAGGTGTTTGTACGTGATAGGAAGGAGTTTGTTCACTAAGTTCATGTGCAGATTTGACTGATAATGTTCTCTCCCTGTTGAAGGATTTCTGAAAGATTTATTGGCCGATCCACTTGAGGCAGAGATGAACAAAGAACAAGATGTTTGAATTTCATTTATTTTCCACATTTTGATCACCATAATTTTCTTTTACAGGACACAAAAAAAAATAAAAAAATAAAAAATAAAAGACAAAAATGGCTACAACAACAACGAAGAGCCAAAGACAAACAATAAGCTGTGAGGAATATAGTCTGTACAGCAGCATGAGTGAGGACGAGCTGATCAACATGGCCATCCAGCAGAGCCTGGGGGAGGATCCAGTAGGCCAGGCAGCAGCCCAGGGCCACCCAAAGCCACTGGGAGGGGGTCCCAGCGAGGCAGCTGCCCCCAGCCGTGCCAACAGCCACAACCCTCCCTACCACCTCTACCCTTGGCAAAGGTGAGTGAGCAACAAATGTGCTGCCTGCCAGCTTCCTCCATCAAAACACGTGCCCTTCTAATTAGCTTTGCCAAGCAGCTTCGTGCGCTTGGTCTGAGAGTCTATCATTAGTTTAAAAGTCAGAGCCTGCTATAAATCCAGTGAGGTCAACAATTTGCGCCCTCGCAGTGAAATGAAAATCAGCCTGGAGCTGTCTGGTTTAAGCAATAAATTAAACCAGAAAGGGGCACTGCTGTGTGTTTTCCTGAAGTTAAGAAGCTCTTGCGGAAATCAGCAGCTCTCTTCTGCCATGCTGCACTCCAGGCTGCAGCTTTGCCAGGGAGAGAGCACAGTGTTTGTTATGGGAAAACATAGGAGAGAGGCCAAAAACCAGCATATAAAACAGTGTGATCTGGCCACCTTTTAGATGCTGTGGGGGATGTGGTTATTTCAGGTCCAGGTCTGGTCACAGGAACATCGCCCCTGCCAAGCGCAGCTCCAGGCATCCAGCCATGCAGGCACCACGTAGCCACGTGGCAACTGTGGAAACCTGCTGCCAAAGCAGGCATCCTACTCCTTTTTTTTTCTTTAAAGGCTGATTTCTCAAGGGGAAGGAGGTTAGAAAAGGGAAGGAGGGCTAGAAGAGAGTGAAAGAGGGTGGAAAATCTCCCCATAAACAAGGAAGATGCAAAAATATCCTTTAAAGTATTTTTGTAATAATCCTGAAGAAAATGCAGATTTGTTCCTCTTCCTTTATCTCAACTCTGCTGCCCTTCTTGGATCCCAAGTCTGGGAAATGTGGGGCAATAAACAAGGAAGATGCAAAAATATCCTTTAAAGTATTTTTGTAATAATCCTGAAGAAAATGCAGATTTGTTCCTCTTCCTTTATCTCAACTCTGCTGCCCTTCTTGGATCCCAAGTCTGGGAAATGTGGGGCAATATGAGGAGCTGGAAGCATGCTTAGCTGCAGAACAGGGATGCTTTACAGTGTACTCCCGATCCAGCTGATCTCCTGATCCAGTGGCTTCTCGGGGTCATTGCAGTGCATTTGCAATGTCAGCTCTTTTGTGAGGACCTGGTGCTGTGCATAATAAGGACTTCCCCAGCCAGTTAGTCTTGTCCTCCTCAGGAGTCCTTGCTTTTAGCACTAAGCTGCATCTTCTGCTCTCTGCATCCCCTGCCTTTGCCTCATGCCAGCAGTGTTCAACCTCCCAGCAGAGCCTTTGCAGCATTGTAGCTCCAGATTTGTAGTGCTGCTGTGCCCTTCAACCACTTGGTAGAAACATGTCCTCCTCCGGCACCTGCTCAGACCTACTTGCGTGACACTTGGGGAGGTGATGAATGTTGCCTTGCCGTATGTCTGCTTCCTGTGTGGTGGCAGCAGGGTTAACCTCACTGTAGTCTTATATGGTCATTTGAATCCCCTGACGCTTCCTCAGAGGGCCAAAAATAATCTCGAGCTGAGAGAGCAGCTGAATCCAGCACAGAGCAAGCTGTGGCCATCTGCTTTTATTCAAAGCCCTGACCGGCACGCTTTCTCTCTCTGCCTCTGCGGATGCGTGTCTCTGTTTCTGCTTCAACATGACCTGTTTCTCTTATTCAGAGTATTTCTCTTCATTTCATTCATGTCATCACCACTCCAGATTGGCAGCCAGAGGCCGCATTCAGCCACCCAACGCAGGGGCAGCCTGGGCAGTCAGGCGAAGGTACGACGGCAGCCTCTGCAGCACAGCCCAGCCCATGTAAGTGCCTCCCCTCCTTCTCCTGTCCCACATCTGCCTTGCTCTCTTTTCTCCCTTCATAACTCTTCATCCCTCCAGTGCACATATCCCTGGGGACTCTGGGTCATTTGACAGCTCTGGGGAAAAATGTGAAAAGCAATCTTCTACCACAGTATATAAACAAGGTGGGAAAGTCCAGGCTCTCAAAGTGATGTTTTATAAATGCTGCTGAATGCTATCCCCATTTGCATGGGGGTGGCCCAATCCAGTGTCTGGGTATAGTGGAAGTGTCCAGACCATGACAGGATTATTTCAGCTGTTTTCAAGACAGAGTAGATACAGACACCTGCTGTACCAAAGAGTTGCAGCAGCATTTTTCTGTGCCTTGCAGAAAAAAACTCCTTTCTAACTTTTCTATCTCTCAGTTTGGAACTATTTATTCTATTCAAGACCCTCCATGGATGCATGGCTGCAGTGACTACTGCTCTACCAGTCCTCTTCCTTCCATCTGTCTCCCCTCTTTACATTCTCCCCCATCTTTCCTTGCACCTGGGCTGATCCAGGCTCTGTCTCCTCTCTCTGCTGACATTGCCCTCCCTGATACTTGTGAAAGCCTCTGCTGGAACTTGGGGTCCCCATTTATCCCCATCATCTACCACCTCCCCTTGGTACCACGAAAATTGCACCCTCTCATGAACTGAAGTGCTCTGCACTTCTAGCATACCTTATCATACTCTTCTGGGTGTGATGACTGGAAGGCTGATGGCTTTTCCTGCATCACATGGTTCAACAGATCTTGGTCCACAGTGAAGGCTAGGACTACACTGGTAAACCAGTCCTCCTCTGTGAGAGCAGATGTGTAGCTGGAAAGCCACAGGGGAGCATGCTGGCAAAGCAATTTTAGGGCCCTAATCTTAGAGGCAGTCACAGCTGATAGCTGAGTTCACCTGGAGAGATAGTGTTCCTTCCTGCTGCTTGCATCTCATCAGGCTGCCAGTAAAAGGAGAAGCTTCTGAACCCTTCTGTGCTCCTCTGAACCTCTTCAGCACTCAGAACTGACCATACATCTCTTCTGCAATGAGTATTTATTAGCTTGGCTACTGGCCTTTGAAATGCAGTAATTTTTTTGATGAGCCCTTAAGGTTAAGATTTCATCAGAACTTCAGACTCATTCCATCATCCTAATGCTATTTTTTTTCTATTTCTGATGAAACCCAAGCAGCAGATTGTGTCAGTTATTTGTTATAACTGCCAAATATGAGACAGGCAGAAAACAAGAATTTCATGTGGCGATTCATTAAACTTTCTATACTGATCTGAAATTTACTTGGCTACAGCATCCACAGCCTGGTCCAGCAAACCCCTCTTCTTACTTAGAAATCATTTAAGGTCAAGGATCTCAACAGAAGTTTACTTCATTCATTTGAGGGCTCAAGCAGAATAATAACTGATTCTTCACACATTTTTAACCCTATCACCGATAAGATGTGCTGTCTGCTTTCACCGAGGCCTCAGCAAACGTGACTCACTTTGCATTTGCTGTGTGCCAGCACCACCCAGGGGCTTCTGCCATACCAACCTTGCATGCAGTGACTCATTCAGTGCTGGTAACTCCATCATGTGCCCAGTTGCAGAGTCGTGGTGAACAACCCAGCCTATGTAATGTGAACTTTTGCACAAAACAACAGATGGCTTCAGCCTCCTTGTGCCAGAGATTGCTAAGGATCCCCACCTCCTTTTCTCCCAAACACACCAATTGCTGATGTGCGACTGTGGCAAAATGCTGGATTTCAAGCACCTGTATAAAAATTACTTATCCCTTAGAAGCTAGCAATTTTAGCTGTAGTCCTCAGGATACTTTTGGTAGTATGAAGATGTAGCACAGTCCCGAGGATGTCAGCACTTCGGCTATCAAAAGATAAGTGTATTCCTTCTGACCAGCTGTGTCCAGGATAGCAGCTATGTGCTCCAGCTGTTATCTTACCAGGTACCACACTTGGCTTTGTCCAGTACCTTCCCCCTATTCAAGTGTAGCTATTTTTGTGACTCTGCTGTCCTGAGATTGCTGCTTCCAGATATAAAGAGAGAACAAGTGGCACCAAAGGAATGGTATCTTTCTCTATTCCTTGGCATGCTGCTCCTGCAACCTGCAGTAAATGCAGAGATTGTACCAATGACGTGGGTTTTTGGGAACTCACGTGCATACTGAGCTGCACATATTTTTCTGTCTCTGGTCTCACCCTTCAATGGCATTCTAGATCTCCTCTCATAATCAAAGTTTCTGGACTTTCCCACTACTGCTGTCATTCACAACCTTCATTGCTTATTGTATTCCTACCATGGCAGTGCTAATGCTCTTCCTGAGACATACACTTCCCGCCCCAGACCACAGGCTTTCCTAGGTTTTCAGCATCCTTACATATTTTCTCTCTGAAAATATAACCCATGTGGAATTTTTTGCAAGTGGCCATTAGAACAGGAAGAATGCTTTTTGCCTTGAGATATTTACTGCCCTGGATCTCAGCAATTTGCTGCCTCAAAATGAGGAAGCAGTGGCTGCATTCTCTTGGCACAGCCAGACAGCCTGTTGATTCTGGAAGGCACAGATCACCTCTGGGTCTGTGCAGGATGCAGGTTAGCAAAGGAAAGGCTTGTCAGAGAGAAGCCCACCTGCAGGGTGCTCATCATGCTTCATTTTTTGGTGGCATGCAGTACTCCATGCTTTTTCTAGGTTATCAGTGAGCCTCTTGCTAAGTTCCTAAAAGGCTCAGAATTAGATAACATCAAAAAAGATGTCTGGCTCAGCCAGCTTCTGAAAACAGACTTTCTCAAGGGAAATGAGAAGTACCTCTAGAACACCAGAACAAGATTAACTAATAACTTCTTCTTTAAGGTTAAGCCACCTGCAAATAGAAACTAAAATTATCTACAGTCATGGAAAGCGGCAGTTCTTCTCTAAACTGAACTTGGTTTTGAGATATATGGAAATGTCTTGCCATTTGGGTCAGCAAATGGTAAGGTGATGTAATTATCACAACCATGGACAATGTAGAATTGGACTTACTCAACTACAGATATCTGAAATAATAATATTTATGTCAAAGTTTAGCCACTTCTTCCTTATGTTCTATGGAAAGAGATCAGCACCTCCAGACAAAGATTATTCTGATCTGTTATGAATAATTAATTAGAGCAGATAGATAAATTTCACCTCCAGAGGCCCTATAGCTAGGTATAAACTCTTAGCATATGAGCTGTAGGAGTTCATTGTTTTGTTGAAATGATAAAATGATATTGCTGCAAAAGACCTCTCAGTAATGAAGGAAGCAGTAATCAGGTTTTAATGTTGTTTTAAAGAGAACTTGACCCTGTGGTAGCAGCAATCAGGGATGGAGATGAAAAAGAGATTTGCAACATGATGAAATCAGGAAAAGACCTTTCTGAACCTAATAAGGACGGTTGGTTACCCCTCCATGAAGCTGCATACTATGGCCAAGTGGGTTGCCTGCGCCTGTTGCAAAAAGGTCAGTGAAATTAAAACTAATTACAAAAGAAGGAAGAAGAATATGAGTAAGCCAAATAGCAGAATTAGTATCATACTAGTCCTTGTCCAATACTATGTGTGAAGCATTATTCAGCTTCTATGACTGCATATTAATTTCACTTTATCTTTGAGGATAGGCTTCCAGAGGGAAGCCTTAAAAGTTAGGATCTTCAGGAGAAAGTGATGCTTGGATAGATTTTGTCAAGCTCCAGACTTCTCACAGTAAAGCCTTGTAGCTTGAATCTTGGCTGTTGTGAGCTACTTGGAATCCACAGCTGGCATCAGTGTCCCACTAGCTGAAGATCGAAACCAGAACTTCCTTGCCAGTGAAGGAAGGTGTTTAACTACTGCAAATTATTTTCAAACTGCTGCTGAAGTGCAGTTACTTAACAGCTTTCTGCATTATTACTGGGCACAGACGAACATTTTAATCTGAGTCAGTGATTAATCTGATTGATAATAACTCGTATATTCTTTACTTTGTTTACTGAAAAGCAAGAATAAACAAAAGCTCATCTAAAACCATAAGTATTGAAGGTGCTACAGATATTTGTACAACTCTATAACATAATGTCTTTGGGCTTACGATTTCTTCACAGCATATCCTGGCACAATTGACCAGCGCACGCTCAATGAGGAGACAGCTCTCTTCCTGGCCACTAGCCGAGGCAACCTGGACTGCTTGCTTGCCCTGCTGCAGTCTGGGGCTGAGCCTGACATCTCTAACAAGGCCAGAGAAACTCCCCTCTACAAAGGTGAGGTCCAGAGCTTCCAGGATAATGAGCTCCACCAGGAGAGATCTCACAGTATTGACCCTACCTTGTTCATCTCAGGCATAGAATCACAGAATCATAGAATCATTAAGTTTGGAGAACACCACTGTCCAACATACCACTAAACCATGTCCCTCAGTGCCACATCCAGATATTTCACCTTAAGGGAAGTTGGCCCTGTTGCCTTCCTGAGCAACAACTACTATGATACATGCTGTCCTACCTGTCTGCACATTGTACAACAAAACCTAATTGTAAATGTAGCTGCTTGTTTTGAGTGCCTTTGGTTTGGGGTGCCACAGTAAAAATGTATAGGAAGCCTGACAGACTGGGTTTCAAGGAGTAGTGAACAAACTGATAGAATAAAAATTATCAAGAAAGTACTATTATCTGAAGATGGTCCTGAGCTGTGAATTGCAGGCTGCCAGAGTTCTACAGACTCCCCTTGTTAATATTTAGTAAGGATCTTTTCACGCTGACTCTTTTTTTTTTCCTCATTTTCTTATCTATATAGAAACTTACTTGTAGTTCAGAACAATAAGGTCCAGAGTAACTTTGCTCAGAATTTGCAAACAGAATGGTCAGGTCATGCTATCTTCATGCCGTTCTACATTCTTCCTTCATAATTTATATTCTATCCCTTGTCATCTCCCTTTGTGATGTCCAGCCAGTACAAAGCCGGGCTTGATCTTCCTCAGAACTATACTTGGCACATGCCTGCAAATGACACGGTCTCCTGCAGGCCCAGAATGAAGTCTGACTTCATTGCTGCATCCTGTAGAAGTCCCAGATAGTGTTCTTTGCCAGCAGCATTACCCATTGTACTGAATAAGATGGATCTATTGGCTTATTCAATGTGGCCAATCTGTGTTCTGTTGTTTGTACTCTGTGAAAGGAATACCCAGAACACCCAGATTCTTTCCATAAGCTTGTACTATTCACTTCCCTTTTCTTCAAAACAGCCTGTGAGCGCAAGAATGCAGAGGCTGCAAGACTCCTGGTACAGTACAATGCTGATACCAACCACCGCTGCAATCGAGGATGGACTGCTCTCCATGAGGCTGTCTCCAGAAATGACCTGGAGATTATGGATATCCTGGTGAAAGGAGGTGCCAAGATTGAGTCTACAAATACCTATGGGATCACTTCTTTATTTGTGGCAGCTGAGAGTGGGCAGTTGGAAGCTCTGAGATACCTGGCAAAATGTGGTGAGTAGAGTTGTACCATTGATACACCATTGCTTGTTTCATCCTTGATATTTCAAAGGTCCCATTAATTTTCCCTGTCTCAGCTTTTCTATCTTTGTAGATAAGTACTAGCCTGTAGAGCTGCTGAAAGCCTTTTGCTCCAGATAGCAGTTTGTGTGGGTCTTTTAGAGAGCATAGTCTACACACATGCATTTCTTTAGCATCCATTTGAGGCCACCTACATTGGGAAATAATATGGTGCTCTCTAATTGAATTGCCTTACAGCTTTTAAAACCTATATTGCTGTGCACATGTAGTCTAAATCCAGTCATAAAAGAAAACTGTAGGTGGTAAGAGATGGCAGAAGTTGAACATTAGCCAATCCCATCTACTCACAAACATGCGCCACTAATGGACATGGACTAATGGTTAGCTCTCCTCCAGTAATGAATACCTCTGAAAACAAAGTCCTATTGTATAGTTAATGGATTTACACCAAGGAGAAGCAATTTCAGTCTCTCATGTGTATGTATTCAAACATATAGGCAGAGTGAATTTGATTTTTATTTACACTAAACCTACCTTTTACTGCTCCAGTCATGTAAATAAGGGCACAGATTTTACTACCATTCTGAAGCATATTTTATCCTTGCAGTGGACTAATACTTCAGTGTAGGTAAGAATTGGATCCTGCACTTGTGAAAGGAAAGCTAAATGGCAGTAAATATATGAAAAACTTATAAAGCAGTTATTATGGCTATGAAAGATACAAAAGACAGGGAACAACCAAAAAAAAATGTAATCTACCGTTCAGCTAACATTGTCAAGGCAGTTCTGTATGACCATTTAGTCCATCAAACTGCCTACAATTTTAGAAATTACACTGGAATGTGATCTGTGTTTCAACTTAGACATTATGATTTCCTTAAAGTTCAATTTTGAGAAAAATACACAAGAGAAAATCCAATAAAACTATTCAATTGTTTCAAGCTTTCTAAAACTCCTCTGAGAATACCAGAAATTATATCACTGCATTGTTTACGATGAGAAATGTTCATCATAAGAAGGTTTTCTTTTTCATTTCTTTTTCATTATAACATAGTCCTGTGTTATGCTTTGTCATTGCAATTCTCTTGATGCTTCCAGCTACAACATTTTCAAAGGGCCAAACACAACACAGATGTTTCATTTTGGGGTGAGAGCAAAAGGAAATATTCTCTTTGGCAGGGAGCTTTCGCGATCTGATAGAAGACTGATTGGTTCCTTTATTGGAGTTTAGAAGCAAAACTCCAGTGAACTGTCATACTCATTTAGGATACATATAAAACAGCCTTTCTCAGGACAGCGTAGTACATTGCATGTTGCATTATACTGCAGTCAAAACCCAGTATTTCAGATCTTAAATATCTAGCACAGAAAAAAAAAATCAAGATTCCAGATTGTCTGTGGTCAAAGAGTATTAGGGCTTGGTCTATTTTTTGCTTGCTGTTTATTAAGACAAGCATCCACTAGAGTACAAGAAAAAGTATACTACAACCTCATTAAAAATGTTCATCCTTTCTTAGCTAACATTTACCACTTGGACCCTAAATAGAAGCCTTATGAAAAAAAAAAGCTAGGTCCTTAGATGCTGAGTTTTGAAATGAACTAAGTTTGTTCAAATGAAAGATTAGTAGAATTATTTCTGGTTACTATGCAGATGTCTTGTGATAAAATCAAATTTTAGACTAGATATGCGCTAAAATTAAAATATAGTATAAATAGTATTAATTCACTTATAGTTTGAATATAGAAATTATAAGCAATATTAATAAGCCTAAATAAATAAGTCATAAATACATAACCACAAAGCAATTTACTTAAGAGAGCATGTATTAAAGTCATATAATCCCCAGTCTTGTTCAGGAATATTTTATACATATAGATAGATAGATAAATAGATATAGATAGTGTAAATACGTAAGTACTTATGGAATTGTTGTGTCTAAAGAAAAGTACATGTTGAATAAAGAACAAGCACATTTTAAAATGTTTATCTATGAAATACAAATGAATGGAGCCTGGACTCATGACTGGGAACTGATGGGTGATACCCACTGTTTTATCCTGAGTGTATTTCTCCTTTTCTTGAGTGTGTTATCATTTTATCATTCTACTTTCCCCAGCAATCTCTCAGTGAGAATATGATTACCCATATAAACTCTCCCTCATAAAATTAACATCGTGGCAAAACCCATTGGAGATCTATAAAATAACTGTGTAACATTTTCATTTTGCTACGATCAGATTTTGTTCACATCACCTTTCTGCATATGGTGTAGCTCTAGTGTTATGGAGACTTACGTGTTCATTCAGTGCATGTTGCCCCCATCTGATTCAACCCTTTGGTCCTATAATTTTTTTTTTCTTCCTTCCTAGGTGCTGATATAAACACTCAAGCCAGTGATGGTGCTTCTGCTCTTTATGAAGCCTGTAAAAATGGACATGTACATATTGTAGAGTTTCTTTTGTCCCAAGGAGCTGACGCTAACAAAGCCAATAAGGATGGCCTCCTACCTCTTCACATAGCAGCCAAAAAGGGAATTTGCGAGTAAGTTTTAGTTTTGTTTAGTTTCACCTTTTAGGTAAAAATCCTAAGTTCTCTTTTTCACAAGGACTTTATGTCATAGATTCAATTATGAGCACCACAAATTAGGGAGATCGCAATAACTTGAACAGAATGAGTTTGCAGGATAGGATGAATAGGATGCGTGAGCAGAAATATGGGGTGAAAGATCACATTAGCTTGGCCTAGAAATCACTTATTACAGCTAAATAACCACACGTATCTTGAAAGCAGGCTAAGAAGAACTCCACAGAATATATTTGGGATGGAATGAAAAAAAATCATCTGTATATGAAGTTAGCACTCACTTTAAACTCCTTGCCACAGCCCATAGCTATTTTTGCAGGATACAATCATACTTCTAATTGCAGTCACTGAACCTTTTGGTGACTGTGGAGGACTCCATTACCACAATTTCTATCAAAAACCTTTAAGAAATTGTTATCCAAATGCAAAGATTGTTTCTAGACAGCTGTTTTTGCAAATTACTACAAAAGATTCTCATACATTTCACAACGTCTAAGGAATTAATCTTTTGACAGCACTACACCTTCCTATAGCATCTTTTATCCTAGCATTTGAGTCCATTTGGGAAGCCCAATTACACTTCTCAAATCACTTTCATAGACATAAGGATATTTATTTTCTGGAGTAATTGGAGTAAATCTGCTTTGTGAAAGCTATATGTTCAGGAGGTGGCTCAGTGTGAATTTATGTAAAAGGTTTATATACTTCTAGCACATATATAAATATCTTGCACAGACTAATATGGGCATGATTCAAAATTTTCTCTGTGGTTTAACTTAGAAAGACAGTTTTTTGACAACAAACACATTTTAGATTAGATAGAGACAAAACCCAGCTCTAATTGTTTGCTTCCAAAATAGTTAATCTGACAGTATAGTAAATTGATCTGAATCCAATCTGTAAATAGAATCTGGACCAGTTCTCTGATTCTATTCTTTCCCTCAGTAGATAGATAGCCCAATCCGTAAACAAATCTACATGGAAATTCAGCAGTCTGAGTGCATCCCTATGTTATGATAGAAACAGCCAACCTGATTTGGAGATCATGTCTATTATTGCCAACACTCAGCAGCATGCATGAGATAAGAAGTCAGCCCAAACTCTGAGTTTGTTTACTTGTAAAAGATTGAGTACAATTTTTTGTGCCCAACTGCCCAACTGCTGTGAACTGAAGTACACGAGGAAGAAAAAAGATATTCTCTTACAAATATTTATCTAAATGATGAAACTATAGTCCAATTGGCTGATTATTGTTAATTCCAGTGGTATTCAGTAAAATAACACCCTTCAAAATGACCTCTCTTTGTATTCCTGAAGATTTAATACGTAATTCTGCTGGAATTCCACACTTCAACTTTTTGCCAGAGCACAAAATCTCCCTACCATCAAAAAGCCAAGAATGCGATCCCAAGGCTCAACTGTCAATTCTTGTTGCTTGGTGTTTGTTTATTTTAAATGACACCTTGTCAGTACTGACACAAAGTTCATAAAGGTCCTCTCATCAGCTCTAAGGCAAGTGTAAGCTGTCATTTAATTCCTTCACCCTTGAAACAGGGGAGCTAAGAAGACTTTGTGAAGTGTAGGCAGATTTATTATGTAAATGCAAGTCAATCATCTCTTGGCACATTCGTATTAAGGATACTCTGCCTCCTTCCTTTAATTTCCAATGAATAGAAATCGCAAAAGCAGGTTTCAGGTATAAGGAGTAACTCAGCAATATTTCAGAACTGCATATGAGTCTCAGCCCTGTGACAGACAGTATCAATAGCCTTGTCTGTCCAGTCTTGACTACCTTCACTTATCTACGTTCTTCCTCCATCCAGGTAGGAATGTGTGGTGGTAGAGACGCCACATTTCTGAACCAAGTTGTTTTGAAGGATGAAGAAAACAGACAGATTATACTTTGATAGAATTTCCAGACTTTCCTCCCAGCAAAATCTGAGGGGCTGTACTAAGGTGTGGGACACTGCAGAATTTGGATATAAAGCCTCAGTGTGCCATCACTGCAGAGAGGTTCAGGACCTCACAGACAGAAATGAGGCAGAACATCTTTAACTCAGACATGAAGAGCAGACTGAGGCATATATCCTGGAGGAAAAGAACAAAACAGACTCTTAAATCTTCAAACATTTGATCATGGGATGACTGAATGTTGGCACTTGGCATGGTGTCCTCACAGTATTCTCCTCCCTTCTTGCTATTTCAGCTCTTATAGAACATTTGATAATAATGGAAAGTTGCCAGCTCACCAGCACCCACCTCCTGCTCCCTGATGAAACTTAAGGTGCTATAAGAGTAGTGATGCTAAAGACGCTTAAAGAAAAAAAAAGAAAAGAAAAAAGAAAGAAAAGGGGGGAAAAAAGCACTTATTCTCCTAAGACATTTATTTAATGTAAAAAAAAAAAAAAAAATCTTTGTTTCAAAAATGAGAAGTAAAACAACCTTGAAAACATCAGCTGTCCACCATGCAAATGGGACCATAACCCTGTTAGGTGTCATGCGTCTTCAACTTTTCTTTCATCTCCTGGGAGTGTGGAGACTCAGTCTTTCACAGGATCATTCAGCACATCACCGGCAAAGGTTTCTCTGAGGCCAGTTTACATTGTGCTTAGTTCATTATGTAAATGTAAGTTTTAGGGACATTGCAGTCAAGCTGAACATGTACAGCATCTTAAAAGAGGTGCGTTATGTATGTGCTTTGCATGTTAGAAGAGCTCTTGCCTGCCAGATATATTCTGCATAGGAAGAGGACGAAATGATGTGCTTAACTCACTGCTAAACAATTGTTTTCACAGACAGGCAGGAGGTAGACTCTGGTTTGGCAATTTCTAGTCTCATTCTATTTCTTAAGGTGCCTTATCTGTATAGAAGCAAGCTAGTGCCTCAGCTAAAACATCTAGCTTCATTAGCAGGAAATGAGAGTTTAACCTATGGGCTTGATTATGCAGCTCCAGTGATGCCTATGGAGACATAAAAATACTCATGGATTTACGATAGCTGGAGCCTTGTACATCATATTTTGAACTTCCGATTACGTAATGAGAACAGCTCAATTTATGTTGCTGTGCTTAAGACTGCATCACACTTTCCAATAGCAATCCTTCATTACTGGAGCTTAGGACTTGGCTGTACTTTTTTTTTTTTCCTCCCTGGGCTAAAACATGGCACACAGCCTGGAAAATATTTTTATTTCTTTTTCTTCCCTTTCTTAATTGTCATTCTAGCTCACAACATTTGGGATGGATGTTGATAGCCCCACAGATTTACTAAAGCCAAAAGCTGTGCAGAGGGCCTCTAGTATGGGGCTCAATCCAGAGTAGAAATTGAACTGTAAAATCTGACATGGAGGTCTGGAAACCAAGTACGTAGTTTATTCCAGCTCAATCCCATAGGAGTGGAGGTTTCATTCCCTTTCTGGTCTCAAGCTTCTTGCTGTGGCTGTGACCTATGAAGTCCTTCACCACAGAGCAATCATGATGGATCCCCTGCTTCCTCATTCAGTTCCTCTGATCTGCACCAGAGGAGTGCTGTCCACAGAGTGATGGCAGAGGTGCAGAACATCAGGGAAAGCCTGACTGGGTGTCTGCCATTTGTGTATTCATGAGTTAGAGCAAGATAGGCAAGGAGTAAGTGCATTGTTTCTTCCATTGTAATTGCCCCTGTGGCCGGCATTGTCACAAAAAAACTGGGTGATGATGTAACACTTGTCACATTTTTGGCAATGTAAAAGCATTGGGAATTGAAGATAGTTTTCAAGTTGACACTGATTTTCTCAGAGCAAATCATTCCTATGCTCAAGTTAGTAGGCTCTTAGAGTTACTACTAAACAGCTAGGTTTGCAGAAGATCCCCTAGAACTCACCGTTGCTCACTGATTCTCCACTTGACAGGATTGTCTCCATGCTGATTCCTGTGACTAGTCGCATCCGTGTCAAGCGCAGTGGCATCAGTCCCTTGCACTTAGCAGCTGAACGCAACAATGATGACATCTTGGAAGAGCTAATTGATGCTGGCTATGACGTGAACACCACCCTCTCCAATGAACGAGCCTGCCTTTACGAGGACAGACGCACCACACCTCTCTATTTTGCTGTTTTTAACAACAATATCTACGCCACAGAGCTCCTGTTGCAAGCTGGAGCCAACCCTAACATTGACCTCATCAACCCGCTGCTTATCTCCATACGCCATGGTTGCCTGAAGACAATGAAACTGCTTCTCGATCATGGAGCAAATATTGATGCTTACATTTCAAGCCATCCCACCACATTTCCAGCTACCATCATGTTTTCAATGAAGTACCTTTCTCTGCTGAAGTACCTCCTGGATCTTGGCTGTGATGCTCTTTCCTGTTTCCAATGCCAGTATGGAAACTGCCCACACCCTGCTTTAAATTACAGACGGGACAGATTTAATGATCCTCAGCTGTCCAAAGAACCAACCATAACGCAGGTAAGCACTCCTTACACTATCTTTAGTACTTTTGGGAACACCTCTCACCCATGTGTCTTGATAACTTCACATATTTCTTCTCCCACCTTTCCTGCAAGAGAAGATCCTTTTTTTCACATAAAAATAAGGCTTCGTAAAATTCAGTGAGTGTTTCAACTGCACATTCAGTGACAATGTGGGCATAGGCAAGAGCTGCTGATGTCCAACCCTGAATTTCAGATGAATGATAGCCATCTTGACAGCTTTTATTGTCAGAACCACAATACTCTTTTCCTCTAGACATGAGGTGCCAGAACTGAAACATATTTTCTTGTCAGACAGGGTCAAATGGGCAGTAGAAACCCTGTAATGATTGTTTTATTTGATAATTTATCTGCAAATCTAAGTGCTTAAAGGTTAAATTAAAATTGTATAGTCCTTCACCCTTACAAGGGTAAACTAGTGAATGTAAACATCTGTTTCCAAATCTGGATAAGCAGCCCTGGAGAGAGTGCATAAATTATTACATTAGCTAAATGACTGTCCATACTATTTGAGGCTTTCAGAAGAGACCAGGAGATTTCGATCCATGGTTTCATATTTTCAAAGCCAATTACACATTTTAGACGACCCTGTATTATGCATGTATATCTTGTATATCTGCAGTCCATTCCAAAGCTCAGCTACTGCTTCCTTTGTCTGGAATTGGATTCTTAATCCCCTAAATGACTTTGCAGAATTGCAGAGTGCACATTTTCTTGTTGTTTTTGGTGTTTTGTGTGTGTGTGTGTATGTGTGTAATCTCTGTTTGTTGACTCCTTCCAAAATATCTTAAAGTATATCTGACCTTCCAGTCAAAATTTACTGTCCTTCAACTTGCAGCAAAACAAAGACCTCAGCATGGCAGTCCTCTTTCTCTTTTGGAAAGCATTAGGGAAGCAATAAGTCGACTCCTATTGAGCTGAGGTGTACTCTTGTTTAATTCAGAAGAAAGTGTTATTTAAGCCAAATAAATGATTGGCATTAAATTGAATTATCTCTAATTCTGGAAACATGATGATTTTGGATGTGGAGTAAAAGAGGGCTGAAAATCCAAGGCAAAGAGAGAGTATTTGTATGTATCCTATGTGATAATTCAGCCACACAAAAACAGGTATTTTTACTTAGCTAAATGCAATATTTCCCTCTGAATCTCACGTAACCATATTTTCAATTTCTTAAAAAATAATTGGTCACACACAAAACAGAATCATCATCTGAAAGGTCAGAGACATTAGCAGCAGAAGCAAGCTGTGTAAGATTATACCTGTGCATAGAGGAACTGATGAGTCTCTGAGTCTTTCATATAGAGACTGTTTCTGCACAGAGTAGAACAAGTAGTGGTATATCATTTTAAATTCGCTTCTTAATGCTAGGTTTCTGGCTAACAGAAGAAAGGTTTGTCAGGGGTAGTTTCATGATATGGCTGTGATATGGTTTGTATTCCAAAAAACATAGAGAGTCATATGAATCTTCTGCATTTTCTATGCATAAGATGCACATTTCTTATCTTCCTGTATCAAATTACTTAAGGAAAATAAATCAGAATTAGTCTTTATACAGTGACACTATGAGCTATTGGAAGTTGGTTTGAAAAATACATAACTACAAATAATTACTGATTCTACTGAATTAGCATTTCCTATGAAAATGAATGCAGAAAAATGCTTGCTGTCTCAGCACCCGTTTCCCTAATTGCGGTGCCAAAACCGTGAGCGGGAGAAATGAAGCATCTTTCTGCCACGAGAGGGCATTCAGGGGCCTGCCGAGATTTCAGGCGGTGCGTCCCAAAAGCAGAGCTACTTCGCTCCTGAGACTGTCCCAGGGCCTGTTGTTGCAGGTTTGCCTTCTGCTTCATTTTGTTCTGTATCTTTTCCTGTAACCTGTTCGGGAACATTTTTAGTCTGGAAAATATATTTTTAGATTAAGCGTTTGAATGAGGAAGAGAATGAAAATAAAAGGCAACCTCTCTAGTTGGAGTCAAAAAGAGAACAGTAAGATACAGTGCTTTATTACACTGAAAGTGTATCTTCATTTAAGCTCTGAGAGAGTGGTTTTACTCTTTGGAGGTGTAGTGCAGATCCTCAGTTTGCATGTTGTATATGCAACTGCATGGCAATGGCATAGGAGCAGGCACTGGAGAATGTCAGATATCCCAAACAACATTTCCTATGAACAATTCAGGTAGGAAACTCTGGATTGCCCACTGGATTTTGGGGTCTTCTCAAAACCATTATATCTAATTTTTCTGGAAATGCTCAGAGAAGCAAAGTCAGAAGAGCAGTACATGCTTCTGTGAATGCTTTGACCTTGAATGAAAAGATCTTACAATTTTCTGTAGTTTTGTTCTTCATAGATGTTATAATATTTTATTTCTGGATAAGAGTATCCACTCAGGGGCTTAATTCATTATGACTTAGGGCTCATACATGTATGGTCATATGTGATTACATGAGCATAAACTGAAAGAGATTCAAGCTGATGCATTATCTCTCCTGTTTGGGGTAGGCTTGGAGGGTGCCTACAAACAGTCTCAGTGACTAAGATGATGTATAGTGCATAAGTGACCATTGTTCAATTGTGTTTGGCCATGTGTCTGAGCTCTTATCTGCACAGCATGATTTAGTTCACCTTAACTTATTCAACTGCTCACATGTAGATAAATCCACAGATATCTTCAACATGTGTATCACCCAAATAGAGATAGATGAAGCTGTCTGGTATAACACGCATTTAGGTTAAAGTGGGAAGGCAAATTTTTTGAAATGAATCTATTTAAAGTCAGATCACTGCTTGAGAATCTCCGTAGTTCTCCATCCTAAAGCTCAGAGTGCTCTGCATCTTGCTCTATGGGCAAGGAAGGCTGTGCCTGGTCCACACCTAAATAAAGACGATTAAACGGGGCTTTAGTAAAAAATGTTCTGAGGTAAAACTGGAAGTAGCCTCTACAGTTGGTAGAAAGACTACAAAAGTAGTCAGGGTTGGTTTTGCTGTTATAATTTGTATAGGTGCATTCATCTTTCACTGACTGTTGCAAATTTGTTTTTTTCTTGAAGTTTTGTGATATGGTGTCTACTCCAGAGATAAGTCGCTGGGCTGGGCCAATTATTGATGTTCTCCTGGATTATGTGGGTAACGTCCAGCTCTGTTCCCGGCTCAAGGAGCATATAGACAGCTATGAGGACTGGGCTGTCATTAAAGAAAAAGCAGGTATGATTACTCAGAAAAGAATCTGCCACAAATATTCTCACTGTTGGATTCAAAATGTCAGTCACCATTTCCTCTTACATTTCCATTTTTTCTATTGAAAAGCCCTGTAGGTTTTTAACCTGACCTCTGCAGAATCATACAGTCAGTATCTATCCCCTAAACTCAGTAGGATTTCCCTACTGAAATTGAATTAAATTTTTCAACCTAGTATTAGGCACTAGAAAGTGCTGGAGTATGTTGACTTTGTGATGTTGAATTTACCCCAGATGTAGATCTGGCCCACTGGAAATAAGTCTTGCCAGAGCACGAAGGCTCATTTGTCTGAGCCTGTGATGTAGGCAGATGAGGGCAAGTAGACAAGGTGACCACCTCCACAGGTGGACACCAGCAGGACAGCAAGCACTCACAAGATCCAAAGACTTTCACAGGTATTATCAGAATTAGTTGTCCAGCATGAAGATAAACTGAGAATGTATTGCATTTATTTTCAGTGGTGAGGCTGAGTACTCCGAAGCATCTTGCTTAAATCCTCCTAGAAAGCCCACTGCTAGGCTGTCATGGGATACAGCACCCCATCCTCCAGCCCTACTTCCTTCCCTATGTCATGCCTCAGAATGAATGAGCAGACATATCACCTCACCATTGCAGACAAAGCCTCTATTTTTACTTCTCCTCCTCCCATTTTCCTCTTGCCACAGACATGGATGTCCGTCTCAAGTTTAAATCTGTTCAGCTCACATTTTTGACATGTGTCTCTTTCAGAGCCTCCACGACCTCTTGCCCATCTTTGTCGTGTCAAGGTACGAAGCTTGATTGGAAGAAACCGCATTAAACTCATTGACACATTGCCTCTTCCATACAGACTGATTCGATACTTACAGCATGATTACACACAGTGACCTCAAGCATGGTAGACTTTCAGCAGCTTCCTGGCATGTCACTCAGAGTCATCAGCATGACAGTGGCACACACCAAGCTGCTGGCTTGGTCAAGTGCCTTCCAATGACTAATCTACAAGAAATAAGCTTCTGGAGTGAGTGAGAAGAAAAAGGAGTGGACATCTAAACATCAGGTTTTACAGGAGGAAGCACACGTGATCCACTTCAGAGCTTGGTTAGCAAAGAAAAAGAAGTGAAAGCCAAGGCTGAAAAATGAGTAGTGCTGAAGCAAGTACCAGTGAGGGTACTCACTGATCTGGGGTCTGGTGGAGCTTAGCATCCTTGCTGTGATCACATTTCAGAAGCTGTTAAGAGTCAAAATATTTGGGAAAACAACTACATTTCATTCACTGACTGAGATTTTTACTTTAGTTTCTACTCTGTGTTTTGGATTTCTGTTCAGTGTGCTGGTTGCTAATTCTCTGATAGTTTGACACTGTCTTGGTAAAAATTTTTTGGACCTTTCTCAGTCGAGTACTTGATTTCTGAACATTCAAAGCTCAGAACTTTTAACTATACTCAGATGTGCAGATTCCTTTAAAAGCTGAGAAAAGCTTTATTGAAGGAGGATGTAAGAACTGTATTTACACCTAGCAAATACAGTTCAAGTTGTATTACATAAGAAGGCAGTGAAATTAGTGAAATTCTGCTTGAGATAATTTTCTGTATTTTCTGATTTTCTATACTGGGGATTTGAAAGCAACTCATATAAATATATATTTCTTTTCTGTAAATTAGAAGTAGTTGTACTGTAAACAGTAGCTACGGTCTGTCATGAAGCTGGTGTCTGAACAGAACAAAGCCCTAGAGGAACATGGGCAGTGATGAGGAAGAAAGACAAGATACACAGGGAACAGCCACACTGCTACACGAAACTTATTGTTCCACTAGAGGATCTTGTCCCTACGAAATTCAGCCTCTCTTACTTCCTTGACTTCTGTGACTATAATAATACAATGACTGAAAAAAAGAGAGGTTATTTCAAGATGATGAGACTTTGAGATTTAGGAAAAAAAATGCCCAGAAGTTAGCTCTAAATCTTTATTCAGGTGCCCACACAGTGCCAAGATTCTTGTGCCAGGTGTAGTTACATTGAAGCCAGTGGGATAACTCTGGTGTCAGATATTACTGAGGTGGAATAAGTCCTAAGATTTAGCCTTGAATTTCTTGACTTCAGAAGTTAGAAGTATCTATTAGTTCTTTTGACATTGATGAAAGTTATTATCTTAGCTTCTCTGAAAATTAGGTCACCTATTTACAGCTCAGATACACAACTGATTTATGGCAGCTTAACAACTTGCCATCTATCAGCTGAACCGCTATAATTGTCCGTGAAATTCTTTTATTGAAGTTTTTAACAAGTCACATTCCCTCACAGCTGGGGAGGCTGAGGAGCCCACGAATGGTTATTGGCAGTGAGCACAGCTCACTTGACAGGTGTGACTTGCTGAACCACTGAAATTCAATGAATGCCTCGGTCCTGATCAGGCGCCTAAGTAAGGATGGAAGAGCCTAATTTTGGAATCATGTCTTGGCAGATGTTATTCTAGAAGCATACCCATTCTTACCTTAGGTGACATAAGACTTGTGAAATAGGGATTGTTTTGACTCCCCACCAGAGACTTGACAGATCTGTTTTTGTTTGTTGGCCTGCATACTATGAAATGAGATAGAAATTTAACTAGGGAAAATGCACTGGACTGATTTTGTATGTGGTTTCACAACTTAACACAGCACTAAAAGTGTGTTGCACACACACGGGCCTATCTGGGCACAAAAGTCCAGATTCTGTGATGGTTTTGTGTGAAATGCATTTAGCACTCATGGCATAGGATGTAAATGAAAGCAGAAATGGTCACAGCAAGCGCACTGTCTGTAGCTGTCCTCTTCCCAAATGTTGAAACAGCAGTTTCATTTCTCACTGAACTGTGATCTTCAAAGCTTTATAAAATCAGATGAAATTCCTCCACTGTTGAAATTCCATCACTATCAGCCTCCTTGTCCTGAAGTGTGAACTCCACCATTCTTAGAGGAGGAGTGAGGTCTCTGGAGGTACAGTGCCACCTACCCAGTAGGGCCATTCAGAAAATGGAGCCTCTCCACGACACCAGTTAGGAGCTGGCCACCACTGCTGGCCATACAGAGAAAAGCTGGCTAAGCAGCCCTCTGAAGCACTCCTCCAGCCTTTGTGAGTCTGTATTGTCAGGGAAAGAGCTGTAATTATAATCATAGAATCATTGAATATCCCAAGTTGATCATGATTCATATGGATCATTGAGTACAACTCCTAGCTCCACAAAGAACTGCCCAAAAATTAGACTATACAATTGTAAGCGATAGTTTGAGAAATGGAAAGTCATCTATGGAATTATTGCATCCCTTAGCTAATGGGGCTGAGCAGTGAAGGTCTAGGTCTTACTCACATTTATATAAATCAGAAGAAATATTGTTGAAATTAAATAAGTGTAATATAACAGAGTTGCAGGTAGTGGATAGAGCTGAGCATGACCTGGTGGAGACCATTTAAGTAAGCATTTGTTTGGTGTGTGGTGTCAGCTCTGGAGACTGGTAGCTGACAGAAGGATTTGAAATCACCAGCTGCAGGGATGAGATTTCGTAAACCATCCCAAACTGGGAATTTTCTCTGAACCAACATCGTTATGTACACAAAAGTCTCATGAATAACAGCTTCTTTTTATGTCCCTGGACAAGATGAAACTGGTCTTGGGTGGAGCAAATACAGAAACTCCTTTTCTTCTTTTCACCAAGAGACCTTCATCTTTGCTGAGAAACTCATATCCTGGTTGCTCTCAGCTGTCTGTCCTGAGCAACAGCCACTGACCTGATGTGAGCATACCACAGCTGTGAGATGGGTAAGGATACAGTGTGCACAGCAACTGAGGAGAGATGTATGTTAGAGGGAGAGCCTAGTAATTACATTATTATGCCCTTTCTGCTTGATCTTTACTGCAAACCTTCACTCAGTCAGTTTACATTTATTTGCACTGAAATGGAGCCAACTACCTCTCCTACACTCCAGTCACTGGCACAATGTTTAATGTGTGATGCTGAATCTGTACAAATGTGATGAACATTTAGTGCATCTGTCTAAAACTGTGATAAGATAATACCCAACATCCCAAGCAAACTAGGCTTTATAAGCAGATCAATAGTTCCAGCTCCTTCAGAGATTATAACTTTTTGTGATATACAATAGGAATATTTCATGACCAGGTTACTGTACTTTATCCTGCTGCAACATGTGCAATTCACTTTATGTTTGTGTGCACTATTTTGGTTTTTATTTTATACGGAATATTTTCATTTACCATTATTTATGAATGCTATTGTAGATTTAACAGTTTAAATTTGCACTGTTGTAGTAGACAGCAGCTCTTGATTGTTATGTTTCCATCTTTCCAACAAAGTATGAATTAAACAATTAGATTCTAAAGTTTTATCAGCTCTCCTGAATAGCAAAATTAAACAACTAAACAGTGGAACAGCCAGGAAAAGTCTGAATCGATCCAAGCTTGCACAATTAATAATTCTGATGGCAGTCTCAGGGGTGAGAGAATAGTAAATATTGGTAGAGAGACAGTTTTTATTCTTTGCACACCTTTTGAAATGTCTAATACATCTGCACTCTATTATTTTGAATGTACTTAGCAACTGGCTTCTGATCATTCATGTTTTATTTCACTAATGCTTCAGCTCAGAGCCTCAAGGGCCACCTCCTGCCCTGTGCTGGGGAAGGAAGCCCTATGTCACAGTGGAATGTAAGGATTTTAAAACATAATATTGGCCTGAATCTGACGGTAAATTGATAAATATAAACATGCTGGAGATCACTAGGAACAATCTGGTTCTATCCTTTAGCTTAGTTTAAAAGCAGGCTATGCTGCTACATCGAAAACGCAGCAAAATATATTCAAATAATCACTTCAAAAGACTAAAAACCAAAAAATTTAGTATCTAAAAGGTAGAATCTTGATTTTAACTCTCTTATTTTTCTGAGTATCTTCAGAAATAAAATTTCTACAGAAGCTCTTCACTTTGCCATACTGATGAAATCCACAGTCTAGTGGAATCCACTTTCAAATTTCTCCCCTGATCTCCAGAAGGAACACTTGTCCACAGCAGTCACTGCAATACCCATTGTTCATTCCCTGAGCTTCTCTGGTCACCCACATGAAGAGCAATGCCAAGGAGAGTGCATTGCATTGGCGACCAGGAGAGAGATTCAGCACCTGGCTTCATCTGGATTACAACAGTGATACAGAGTTGCTTATGTGAGAAAGTGCATCTAATTACATACAACATTTCCTGCCTCCAGCTCTGCAATGTAGGATCCACAATTCTCCGTTCACTAAATTAAAGAAGGCTACTGTCTCCTCATGGATTCTTTTTCCCAAAAAGACAAAAACATAAGGACATCTTCACACTTTGATCAAGAGCAAATCTGATGCCTTGAATTCTTAGACCAGCTCCTTACCACTTTGCACCTTGCGCAGAGTTGCAGGTACATGCTTGATACATGTGTGAAACAATGAAAGACTAACATACTACAGCCATTGCTTTCATTGAAATAAGCATCAGTGGCTTAAGCTGAGAGGTCTGGGGAAAGAATAAACTACTTTCAGCCTGAGAGTAGTTTATATCCTAACTGCAGTTGCAGTCTGGTTACATAACAGCAAGTCCCATCAGAAGATCCAAAATTAAACTCTATGGTGGCTTAAGATGATAATTTTTTCATGACTGCAGTGTGCTTGAAAGAAGCACGGCCTGTTTTTCTCTTCGTAGAGATACCAGGAGTGATGGAGCACTACTGTAGCCAGGGGCCAACCAGATCAAGATCACTTTTTGCCAAGTCCCAAGAGAAGCTCCCATTCACTCCAAGAAGAGCAGGTTCAGGCCCAGAGAGGACACAGATGCCCATTCTCTGTCCTTCCTCTCCCTCTCTTCCCCCTATAACATCTCTTGATCTCAGTGATTTATTCCAGTATAACTGAATATGGAGGTACACAATATTAAACCTTTCAGGTCCCATGTTCTGTGCCTTAGCAACACCTTCTCAATGGGTTTAAGAGAAGCTTAACTTAAACAATCACCTATTAGCTTTTACCATGCCATTTCACCAAAATAATTAAGAAAACAATAGGCAGATCATTTGTAGCCAGGTCTTGTGACTGTATCTTAAAAACAGACAAAAGAAAAGATCCCTGCTAGAGAAAAAAGAGGACAAGCTATTATAAACACTTCTCTATCACATTTTATGTTTTTGTATTTGACATATAACACCTTATTTTTATCTTGGTTGATGGGGAACAATTTATGAAACAGAAACTTACTCTGCTCCCATTTGCACCAGTTTAACACTCACTGATTTCCCAGCCTCAGGATTAAAACTGAATTACATCACTCTAAATATGCAGAGATTTCAGCTGTCATATCTAACCAGCAGCTGCAAATTAAACCTGCATCTACTCAGTGAGAAAAGTAAACACATTGCATTTGCAGAATCACCAGAATAAAATTACCTCCCTTCTTCCTTTATTTTTTCTTTCAATTATCTTAGTATTTACACACAAGAAGAGCTTAAATCAATTCACAAATGTAGTTTCCACATTAAATACTGTCCTTCCAGTCTCTTGCACGCAAAATGAAGTGACCTGAATATCTTGACTTCTCCGGAATTACTTAAACGTACAAAAACAGTTTCAGTGAGTTTAATTCATTTCATTTCAGTGCTGTGCCTGCAGGGCAACCTGGGAAGATGCTCCCACATGGAAGAGGTTCTCTGAGGTGTTACAATTGCAACAACATTGCAAATGGACCAGAGCCCTGCTTGCCATGGCTCCAACAACGTGCTTCCATAAAAAAGGTCTGATTTGCCACACATGCCATGCCACCAGATTCATAGGGCTTATTCCTGATTTTTACCTGGGAAGAGAAGAATGGAGGCTGTACAGTTACTAATTCACTCCAGCCTGTGCAGGGGCCAACACCATCTCTGGATGGAAGCTCCTTCCGCACACAACCAGCTCCTTGTGCCCACTGCCCAACCTGGTGTTTCAACCCCCTCTAAGGGGTTATTCTGTCCAGTGTCACACACTCTGGCCCTTTCCTCTGGCTAAAGGTAGCCAAAAACATTGAAAATCGGTGGGGGGATGGTAGGCTTGGTAGGGATGGGTTTCAAAACCACAGGCCTGTAGAATTTCTGCCCTGTGCCCTCTGCCTCCTTGCAGAAGGGCTGTGCTTCAGCTGGCAGTGTGGCAGCACCCTTCCTCCACAGCCCTAGCCCTGAGAAAGGTGATGGAGGCAGCGTTCCTGGGGGTTGGTAAACAGCTGGCCCAGGGCAGGGGAAGGGGCAGCAGGTCCAGGCACCCACCCGGCCTGAGAGTACACCAGCAGCATCTTTCTCGCCTGCATTCAGGGCAGGCTCATGACTCTCAGGTCCAATACTGTCTTGGTTCCTCTTGCTTTTCTTCCCCTCAAAGGGAGGAGGGTCCCTGGGGACTGGTAGCCCCTCGGGGCCCGTGGGGAAGCCCCTGGCTGGGAGGTTCTGTGGCGGCCGCGGTTCTTCCCAGAAGGAGGCAGGAAGCTGTCGTTTCCTCATGGGCACCTGGTCTGGCCTGTTGACCTCAGGGTTTTGCTCTGGCACAGCCTGCTCACCCGCCAGACTCTCCTCCACCTCGGCTGCCTGCAGCATCTTCTCAGTGGCAGCCGCACTGAGGGGGCCAGGGTCGGGCACCTCAGGCTGGCAGCTGCGAGCCCTGTCCTCTGCTCCACGGCGTGGGCCACATTCCGGGGGCTTGGCAGGGTGGCACCGTGGCACCCGCGAGTACTTCTGAGAAAAACGCTTCAGCTGCTTCTGCAAATATTTCCTGTGGTCCACCGACCGACGGCAGGGAGCAGATTTATCCAGGGCTGCCTTGATGTCACTAGAGGCCAGGTTGACAAAGTTCAGCAGGGTTTTTACCTCGCTGTCTGATGCCATTTCACTGGATGAGCTGTGCAGAATTTCCCATTAAATGTTTATAATCCGTTTCAGGTAAGCCTTGGCCAATCTGCAAGACACGGTAGGCAGACTCAGAGTGTGAAGCCTGCATTCAAATAGCATCAAGAGCACTGCAGGAGGTGGAGAGAAGAAGTCAAACTTCTCAGCTAAGCATACAGGTTGTCCACCACCTCACCTCTGTGCAGGCAGGCTACCATGCACCTGCAGCCCAGCTCAGCCTCCGGCACAGGGCTGCTCACTTAATCTCATTAGGTGAGACATAGGTGGGGAGAAGAAGCCAAGGCAGCTGCTCTCGTGTCCCTGCAAGCAAGCGCGGACACTCACCCGGCACGCTGGGGCTTTCCGGTGGGTGCTGGTGAAGAAGAGCCCCTTCCTGCTAATCTCGTTAGGCAGGTTACACACTGCCAGGCCCGACGGAGGCAGCCGGTGTGTGTGGAGGCAGTTGAGCAAGCACTTGAGCAAGCTGAATGAATATCGACTCTGCTGAGTTCGGGGCTCTCTCAGACCAATCAGGAGCCACTTTGCCAAATACAAAGCATCCCAATCAGGCATCAGCCTCCCCTTCTCACATTCTTTGCCATCACAAATTGTCACCATGGGGACAGCCACAGAAAGACAGCTAATAAATACAATCATTTCCCCGCGATTTCTACCATTCTCCCCTATCCTCTTCACCCCTACCAAGGCCTTTCTTTTTTAAAGGCACAATCCAAAGGAAAAGTGCCGACGATGAGTTAGGAAAGTTTAGGCACCCTTTTCTATGCACTCCCCGAAGCTGTCTGTGGGCTGATACTGACCATGCTTCATTGGCACAGGACAATGTAATACGGGGGACCGGGCTAGCCTACTTTTAACCGTTCCCCATCAGAGACTTTTTTTTTTAAGGGGAGGATGATGTCAGAAAAAGGTAGGAAAGGAACAAATCTCTAAAGAGATGTGCAGATATCCATGGAAAGGGAGCTTGAGCGCTCAAGAATCTTGTCTTTATGTTTGCCCCCTCAATTGAGTTACACAAAAGCTGAATTACCCATTCAAACTACCCGGACAAAAGGATGGAGTTGGATAGTACTCTTGCATCTGTAGTCAAACAGTTAGAGACTTAAATCGAGTCGTCATGATGGAGAAAGAGTTAGACAAAGCCCATAGAATTGCCATCAGCAAACATTTTCCTGTGTCATATTAGTGGGTCTCCATGACTCCCCCTGGCCTGGGGACAATAGCACAAGTTTGCACACTCGACTACTGTCACCCTGCCAACGCTGGCAAGGAGCAGAAACAGGACAATCCTTTAAGGGGAAAGCATGCCCGCTGCAGGGAAGGTAAGAAGAGAGGGAAGAAAAGGCGTGTGAAATGCTAATTGAGCTGCTTCCTTTACTGATGCATAGCTATGTGAGCCCTCTGCCTTCGTGCAGGCTCGTCCCTGAGGGGTAGCAATAACTTAATAGCAAAGCAAAACTGGGAGCTAGGGGAATAGGAGAGCAGGAGGGCTGCCTTTGGTATACATGGGTGATGTGGAGCTGGCTGCTGCCCCATGTACCAGCCTGGGATCCACTTCCTGCAACACCCTGGGGATGGGAGGAGAGGGACAGTGGCAGGGTAAGCATGCACACAGCCAGAAAGAGACTACCAGCCCTGGGAAAGCAGGGACTGAAGTCCCAGCTATCTCTCATTTTGCAAGTAAAATCTTCTTTGCTAACGTAAGGCGCTGAAGGTCTGAGAACTGACAAATGCAACATTTTGCATTTATTTCTTTTAATCCAGCTTTCTTTAGAGAAGGACAAGATCTAGACTGCACCACTGTACCCTGGGCTGAGGACTCCTCAAGTCTTCCTATGCCAGCATGCTCAGCACTGCCACCCCATTTTCACACCATTTCTCCCAGTCCAACCCAAGCCATATATTTCAGTACTCAGGTGCTGCAGATCTGGGGAGACCTTGGGCTAGGACACTGCACAGCAGAAGATGCCACAGAGCCTTTGCACTACTGCAGTGGGTTGCAATCTGATGGCAAGGTAGAAAGCCTTGAATGTATCTCTGTGCTGTCTGAGACGGGATTATATCAGCAGAGTGAGGGGCAGCTTTGCCCTTACTTACAATGCTGGAGGCACTGGGGCTTATCTTCTCAGAATTTCTATTCCAAAAGCAACTCCTTCCCAGGAGACCTAGTGCAGCTAACTTCACGTCATCTGCCTCACACCATCGTGATGCACGTCTCCATGTAATCTTCTCCAGTAAGATTGTGGGGGTGAGTTTCCAGTCATCTGCTCAAGCATCTATTTTGGGATACACTAGCTGGGGCCTGGCCTCTTTGTGGCTTGACACAGGTCCTTTTTCTGCAGCTGAGTTTACAGAGAGAAGTGTTTTCTAGCACAATTGACAAGATGCACATCAAGGCTTCACATCTCTGTTTGGAGGAACAAATTTCCTGCTGTGTTTGAGCATTTGACCACACCCTGGACAACATGTACACTGTATCCCCAAGTGGTATGTCCAGGGAAGGAAGATAAAGAGAGGTGTGGGACAGGTGCCTGGTAGCAAAGGAGTTTCTGAGGATGTTAATGAACCATGTCCTCAGAGGCCTAAGAAACTCATGTCATATACTGGGTGTCCAACATCCAATTATAGGGGATTTACAGGAAAGATAGGGGATTTATGGCTGTGTGTATGGAGAACCCAGCACTCCTCCCACACCACTGAAGCTCTCTCCAAATGCCCATCTATGTCTGTGCCTTCCAGGAGGACCACTTGCCTTGGTCACAGCTCCTTGGCCACCACGTGACAGCTTCCCATGTCTCACCACACTTGCCGCTCCAGCATCCCTTTCTCCTGCAGCTGGGTAACGGCAGGAGCTAAAGAGGAATGAACCAGCAAGCAGGATTTAAGAAGCAGAGCAACCCACCCTTTCAAGGTCAGACTCAGGTTGAGCTGCACAGGGTTTTCCCTAAGAGACCACCGGAGCCCTTTTGTTCCTCACTGCTCTCACCATGTTCATCCCAATGTACATGTGAAAGGAACAATTAACAATAGGGCACTCCTCTCTGAGAATCCAGTGCACTTTGAAGTGTCCACCAACCAAAGGCTCAAGAATGATACATCATTTTCCACTGTGAACGTGTCAAACTAGTACAGCAATTGAAAAAATGTCTCCACATGCCTTCCCAGCATGCAGACAGGGACCAGCTGGAGAGCCACTTCATATCTGACATGTCACCTCCCGACAGCTGTCTTCTTGGGAATTTTTGGTATGTGAAATTTCCTAATTCCTTTTTCTAAGTGAAGCACAGGAATAAACCCATTCACTAAAAGGATGCAGTTATGCTTTTCCCAAACATGCAGAAACTCTGAAAAATTATTTTCTTCCACAGAAATACCCAAGAATTGTTTTAAAAACGTCACTCGTAACTGGTATCACAATTTAGCCAATTCTACCACAAAACCTCTTCCAGCTTATTTCTACTCTCAGGGACTCGTGCAGCACAGATATTCCAACATCAGCATCATTCCAGGACTGCATGAGCAGACCCAGTAATGCAAACCATTAAGAGAGGAGGCAGTGCAGTAAGTGCACTGGGCAGCTGAGATAACACAAATACCCCAATCACTGCTGCTATTGTAATGATCAGTAAAGCAAAGAGCAATTAATGAAAATCTGAGTAGCACAGAGGTGATGCAAAATCACTGTTCTGGCACTGGCTTACACAAAATGCCTTTTTCTCTCCTAAAAAGAGCACTTTTTCTCCGTCTTAGCCTGAATAAACACTGTCACAGGGCTCACCCTGCTGTCAGTATAACTCTGCTGCATACTGCAGTGCCAGTATACTTTCCAGGCTGGGTTAAAATGAGCTTCTTGCCCTCCCTGATTTGGGACAAGTATTCATTTGTCTGGGATATGTCCATATGCCAAGCACTGGTCTTCTCATCTTTTCCTTATGCAAGTTAAAACTAGGCAACCTCCATTTATTAAAAAATAAATAAATAAATAAATAAAAAAGTAGTAAACAGATTTTTACTTAAAAACATAGCTTAGAAATTGTAAAAAAAATTTCTTTAGAAATTCAAAGATTTCAGTTCATTGTGTTTTGGAGAGGTGAGGAGAAAAAAGGAGATTAATGTTAATGATGTGCCAGTGGCGTAAAAGTGGGAGATGATGCTTAACATCATACTGCAAGAATTTGGTGACCTTAAGAACTACTGCTATTGGAGAGGAAAGGATTTTAGGGATGCTGGGCCACATGCCCCAGGGTTTGATAGCAGGAATTTGTGTTTTGAGAAGTCATCATCTGGAAACAAGAAAAAACAGGTGACAGGATGAAAATGAACCTCACTCCTTCATCCAGTCTGACCTTCGTAGACTACAGGAGGGGCCCTGAAGCATACCAAGAGGGGACACTGACTGCATTCAATCCTCCAGCAGGTTGCCCTCTGGACTCAGAGCCTGACCCTAAATCCAAGGTCAGGAAGCGAGGAAGGAGGAAGATATAGGATTTTTCCCCAGACTCAGCTGTTCTCTTTGCTTCTCACCATATTGGAGGCAACACCTTTTCCCCAGGAGAACAGCAAATTGGTACTCCCACTAGCTTTGACTCTTTCCTCCCCACTTTTTTCTCTGGACAATCTGCTTTGACCTGAGTGACATCCTCCTGTTGCTTTCAACCCCCGATTTACCGCACATGGGGCCAACTCAGAGTCTGTCCCCAAGCACTGGGGCAGGCAGGGGGGCTGTCACCACCCCACAGCCGCTGCCATTCAGGCAGATGGTGGAGGGGACTGATGTGAATAGCTCCTGTCAGTCTCATAGAGTGAACTTTACAATTGTGCTACGTGTTGAACTGCATGTGACTAATGCCATTCTTCTTCAGGCTGCAGGCAGGACACAGCTGTTTCTTTAAGGAAATTTTCATTTTTCTGGGAAGGAAAAAAAAAACACAACACTTTTGCAAGGTCATGGCAATGGTGATATCTATGTATTCTGTAATTAGACATGATCAAAGCTCATCCTGCTTTTCCCTGCCTCTCTTCCTGGTGAATCAGATAATATGTAAAAATTAGCCTGGTCTTGGTTTGGTCCTTCTCGAGGTTTAAATCCTGCTTCCACATGCATCAAGTATGTACTGAGCAACAAAAGGGCCAAATATAGTTTCCTTTATGTAATTCTCAAATAATTAAGTATTTTGAGATCAGTGAAAACTCTGGCGCCAAATAACACAGATAGCTTCTGTCGATGAGCACTGCAAAATGATTAAAAAACACAGATGTAAATACGAGCATGTGAATAGGCTAATCTCTTAAAAGTGCAAAAAAGAAGTGCCCAGTCCTTACTCCATAAAGCATTAGGTATTTCAGATTGAAATGGGATCTGCAGTACATACTGCAGTGAAGAAATAGAATAAAATCACAAAACTAGTATTAAAGTAAAGCATCAGTGATCAGTCAGTCTCTCCAAAATGGGTGTTTGCTACAGCAGTTCTGGGCACTGAAGCCAAATTTGATTTGTGCATGGATTTCTACAGGTGCTAAATTCGGTTCCCCCAGGAGTTTTCCGTTAAAAGCACAAGAGCTGGTTACTTGGAGCAGATTAGCAATCTACTCGTCTGGAATATCACAGTATTTCTGTTAACTGGGACCCACACCTGTGTGTTGGTAGGTTGCAGCAGAGTTTGCTATGTGCCCCTTTTTTTTTTTTTTTTTTGGACAATATTTCACAGAAATACATTACTCTGCAGCATTACATGCAAAGTACAGTGCTCATTCCAGCACTACAGGTTTGGAATGCAACATACTCAAAGCATCTTTCCAGTTATAAAGGACAGAATTTAAATTTGAGATACTGAGAGAACCGCCAGGTATGAACTGGTGGAATATTCACGCTTAGTCTAAGAGCTAAACTCAGAGACGCAGGACCCTTCTGGACTGGTTTTTCTGGAAGATGGATAAGATTGTTATTTTCTAATAAACAAGTCGTTGTACCTGCACTGTTCCCAGAGCTGGAGCTTTGATAGTGAGATTGTTAAGTTTCAGACAAGGCCATGTCACAGGTCCTCATCAGAAACACATTTGATAGTACAGAAGTACCAATATCCTCTAGAAAACAGACCTTTCTGGATGAA